GTCGCCGTGAGGAGTATTCGAGAGATAATCTTCAAGAACACAACCTTAAACATTGATTATTCACATCTACGGAAAACATTTTTTTCCAATACGGAATGCACTGAACCTGCCCGTCACCTCCACGAGAAAACTTTGCACTCTTTTAGTCAGCGCATATTCTGCACGGCTAAATCTTTCGGACATCTGAGCAGAATCTTTGAAGGCCTAATGATTCCATAATTGATGCCTAGCTTGAAGAGGCAAATTAACTCCTACGTTTTTTTACGTTGCGAAACTTTTCACATCGGGAATTACCCGAGGATATGAAATATGCAATTAGTGGACGGTATTTTCTTACCCTGATGATGACGTTCGGATTTTTCTTTTTTTAAAGATACATGTTTTAGCCTTGTATAGTTCACTTTTTAAACCTAAGCGAATTTTATGGACAAAGTAACATTCCTGTAATATTTGTGGCGTTCACGGTTTTGTGAGTTTTAAAATAGAACTTTGATACACGCCCAGATTGGTAGATTGGTATTTTACTTCACATTAGGGTTTGAGAGAGGCCCCTCCCCCTACGCTTTCAACTATTAGAGTCCGTGAGAGGCAAAGAGAAAGTCATTTTGGGGGAATTCTAAGCTTTTCTACTTAATGACGGCTCATTTAGCTTCTTAGTGTATTATTTCTCAGCCCGCCGCCACCGAGAGGCTTAGGCCGGTTCAGGAATTCACAGCAGGCATTTGCCCAAGGCGTTAAAATCCCGCGGCCATTTGCCTTCCTTGCGGTTAGGCATATGGTAATCAGCGGTAAGATAGTTGATTACATATCCGGTCACAAGCAATTTGATGTTGCGTCTGCTATTTCCAATTTTAAAACTAGGAGTAATCGGAGCTTAGGAGAGTGCGTTCGATATGTTTGTTGAGGCGGAAGGGTGGTTGCGATATAGATAAATATGATTATGGCATACAGCGAAACCTCTATTTAAACTGTGTATCATTTTAAGAACGTTTTCAAAAGATATCGTATGGTTCGGTGTCAAGTGCTTTTAATCGGAGGAGACATTGGCCAGCGTCGGACGTGTAAATGGAACATTTTTTTTTACTGGCGCGAGTTACAGGGCGCAGTTTCTCAAAGGCCGATTAGTTCTTAACCCGGGATTCTTTTTCTTTCCGGCCGCAAAAACATTTTTTCGGATAATTTTCTCTGTTATTTTTAACAGCATCCAATCATCACAAAATGAATTACATTGAATTTACTGTTTCAAAAGCTTTCACAGCTGAATCAAACTTCGCACTAACCCTGTCAAAGCCTTCAATGGTACGTGTGTGCTGCTCACGTCAATAACTTTTCCAGTAATTTAGTCGAGCGTCTTGATTTCAGTGACTCGAGAGTGGCGCTACTGCGGGCTGGTTTATTTTCCTAATAAATAACATAGAGTTAAAGTGTTCTTTTGTCCGGTGCCGAAAATATCACAAGTCATGGTCAAATGGCGCCGCCGAGCTTCACATCTCGGTAGATTTAGTTTGTGGCACAACGGCTGCCGAGTTACACAACTCGGTAAATTTACTTTGTGGCATAACGGCCGCCGAACTAAACCCGGTTTGATGCATGCACCAGTAGTCGCAGACATTTTCCAAAGACAGTAACGAACCATGCTGAAAAATATGAAGCCTTAATCCAAAGTAAAATTTAACAGCAAACTCCTGAAAGATCACAGATCGATGTACGCTTTACGAAGATTCAGCAAACTTTTTAAAAGATGAACGCTTTACGAAGAATATCAGACCTTAGCAAACCTTTGAAAGATGAACGCCGAGGACACAAGAATCACCACATGAGTTAGCGCGTCAAAGTGAGGCAAAACTTAAGCAAGCGCCTCAAAGCGAGGCAAAGGTGTGTAGACGACGACGAACGAAAATGCAATCTCAAAAAAACCTCCCTTATTAATTGCACAGGTCACCCAATAATGCACAGAACACCCAACACAAATTAGGGGCTGCGTTCTCGTACCTCGAACGCATAAATTTTCTCTAAAAATCATTTCTCCGTTTGGAACAGTTCAGACAGAAACAGAGAACATTTGGATCTGTTGACGTTGACTTTATAAAGAGCAACAGAACAAAGAACACTAGCAAGATGCTGCGTTACTTATTGAGGTTAATTTATTCCAGCAATACCATATTCGGAAATATTAGCGGGAAAAAGTAATCTCGCTCTACTGCGCACGCAGATGCAATGGCGCTCAAGACGAATTTTTCAGTCTCATTTAATTTTCGCTTGTGCACATGCTGGCTATCTTGTGTTCTTCACTGAAACAGGTAAATAATTGCTATCACGGCCGCAAGGTGAGTAACTGCAAATCTGTACATAAAGAAAACGTTTTAGCTAATGCGAGCGGACTGTTATGTCGAAGACTTGGCTTTATAAGGATGCTAATCGAACTTGAGCTTACTGTTTGCTGAAGTTCAGAAGTGGTTATGAGGACCAGCTCAGTCGCTAATGAAACTGTTAAACATTATGGCGTTACTATCAATAAAGCCGAGGGGCTTCGAACAGGACAATCATTTTACTCGTAGAAATGTTAAGCTTTGTGTGTTATAAACCCAATACATGTAAATATAAGCCGGCCTACAAAAAATCTGGATCTTTCCTCAGGAAATATCAGTAAACCTGAGCATTAGATATATAGGCATGCTGAGTGATTTTTCAAGCGAAGAATTGATCCTTCTTTGCCTGGGTCTAACAAATACACTGGGGCATTAATTTACCTGTGTTTAACAAATACAGCAAATACGCTGGGGTATTAATTTGCCTGCGTCTAACAAATACCGTAATTTGCATATGTTTAACAAATACAGTGGGGCATTAATTTGCCTGTTTCTTACAAATACATTGGGGCATTAATTTGCCTGTGTCTAATAAATACACTGGGGCATTAATTTGCTTGTGTCTAACAAAATACACTGGGGCATTAATTTGCCTGTCTCTTACAAATACACTGGGGCATTACTTTGCCTGTGTTGCACAAAATACACTGGGGCATTAATTTGCCTGTGTCTAACGAATAAAGGTTTGAAGTATTTACTTCTCCCTAACAAATTTATTTATGTGATCCTTTACCAATACAATGGCAACAAAGATAAAGGCGTTTTAGAACTGAAAATTCCGGCGATGTATATTTTTTAACCAAGCCGGCACGAAACCGCTAGTCACGAAAAATATAACAGCAAAGAAAGTGTAGCCCCGTCCCATTGTTTTATTGTATTACATATCAGGCATCCAAGAAAACTCGTATACCTTAATGAGGAAAATTTGCCGCTAAAACGTGTCAGGATTAATCCGGCTTATAACACCTTCGTAAGGCTTGTCTTCTTTTTAGTGTGGTTCCTCTTTCAGCTCCTGCTGTGATTTAGGTAAACATTTTTTACCTAAGCAACGGGAACCCAAATTCCTGAACCGGCCTAAGCCTGTCATAGAAATGCTAGTTCCATTCGGCCTCTGTTTACTCTGGTACATCATTGTGTTTACACTAGCCGCCCTCTTATTACAGATATGTCATTTTACTGCAAGACTCTCTTACGTTAAGTTTTTTTCTTGGAAACAAAGGGCTGTCCTGGGATAACTCCATTTTAATCGAGGAGAGGAAAAATGAAATCTAGCATTCTAGTGATTCATGTTAATCTAAGGGATCGAGTAAACTCAGATAGCGGTATCATGAAAATGGCGCGATATGCAGAGACCAGCATACAGTCACGTTGCCTCTCTTGTTAGTACTTGAATCACCATGACAACAGGGGTTGATCTTTAAGGAAACACGTCATCTGTTCTGTTGATGGGAAGCTGACCATTCATATTGGAGAAATAGTGTGACGTGATACCCTTAAAGAACAAAGCAACACTGTATTTGTGGAAACAGCTGGTTTCACTTCTGCTTTTAGTTTGGGTACAGCTACGTGAGCTGAACAAGGATCAAGACTGCCAAGGTACATTTACTTAATCTTAACCAAGGAGGGACTTAGTTTTAGTCAATGGCTTCCTAGTTTAACATCAGGAAACTATAGCTTACTGGGTAGCCATTCGCTCCAGAAAGTTCGGGGGAAGAGCAAAAATAATTTAGATAACTGAGCTTCTGTGTGAGTACCCACACCGACGGAAGTGGGTTCGTCGCGCGTTTTCCAGCAAATCGTTGGTTTTTCTGGCGAAATCATCGCATATCAAGAATTGCATGCTTTGCGTGATGTAACGCTACTAGCGAGCTCAGTGCAACCACAGCGACGAGGGAAACGAGAAAATAAGCGAAAAAATAAACCTCTGAATGTGTAGGGCACGAATCGTTGCCGTCATTGCACCACAAATGTTGTCAAACTTAATTGAAATGGCAATGCGATCGTCGCTTTAATCTCTAAGATGGTAGCTTCATCAGAGGTCATCGTCGCGACTTCAATTTCGTCAGAAATACCCATACAAAGGCTCATATCTACACTTTTCTAGAGATTTTTACTTTCATTGTGTGCGTGTTACTGCAATGCTAATACTTGCTATTGTACGTAACAAAGATTACTTGCATGTGGTAATAACAATCAAAGTAGCGAATTTTAGTGATCAAAGTTTTTTCTCCAGATTAATTGCACTGTTTTTGCTCCCTAAAAACTGAAATTTGAGTGCGTGTTCAAATAATGTAAGTACTTAAGCTGATTTAAAATTCTTTTTAACACTCTCCGGGCTTCTTATTACGCATGTGCACTAACTCTTTTGAAGAATACGTCACCTAGGGTTAAAACTTTGCTCAAGCTGAGTAAATATTTTCTGACCACAAAACCTGCTGGGTGATTGCGATGAACACTAAGCAACAACGACTTATTTCTCACCCCACCTCCAAAAACAACGTTTGGGGAGGTGGGGTGGAGGGCGTAGTGCCTAAAAGTACCAGGCTAAAGAGTATCGATCATCCTCTATTCCACAGGCGGCTGAGGAGCTTTTGACAGATCTGGTCACGTGAGCTGGTCGAACGGATCATCATGCTAAGTTTATTAATGCTACTGCTGGCCATAATGACTACTGTGATGGCAACCGGCGACAACGAACAGTCCGCACAAACCACGGTAAGCTCGTATAGAAAACCTTACGTGAATTTGTTGGGTAACATTCAGGGGCGGAGCTTGAGATTTTGTAGGTGTACGCACGCGGGAGAGAAAATATTCAGCGTCGAAGCCGGCCCAACGTAGGCAGGTCTGGGGGCATGCTCCCTCCTCAAACTTTTTAAATTTATTGTCTCCGAAATGCAATTTTTAGTGTTTTCCGCATGAGATTTTCAGTAAATTAATACGCAGGAAAACACAGTAGTTAGTTGTTTATTTTACCGATCTCTAGTGTTGTTGGTAAGGTACAATGTTTACGGGAAAAAAAGCCAGTGACGTCACCAGAATTTTGGGATAATAAAACTATAAAGGAAATACTAACATAAAAGACACCAATATAGTGCGAAAAATGTATCAGTCATCCCGATTTAATGATAGAAAATGCTTTTTCAGGAAAAAATATATTTATTCCATATTTTAGCTGTTCATATACGCACGGGCGCAAGTGAGTATACGGACGCAGGACACTACGCCCCTGACATTTGACAAAGGTGAGCTTTTAAGAAACGACGACGGTGAAGTCATCGATAACGGCAAAAAAGCAATAGGTTTAGATTGGCATAACGACTACTTTGCACGTGCATCACGCTTTTTTGTACATTTCTTTGTCGTTACTGCACGACTACGACGAGAAAATGCCTAATTTCACTTTTTGCGTAGGACGGGAACACAATACGACGACTTTTTCTTTCTTTTCCTGACCTTTGATACCGAGTTTTAGTATTTAAACTCCAGAAATAGTTTCCAAAATTTGACGAATAGCCCACTTCGGAAAAGAGTGATAGCCTGGGACCCAAACTAAGCGCGCACGTATTTATGGGATTGTTTGGGGGGACAAAGTGAGCAACCACCTTGTGTTTTGACGAGGCATTCAAGTTAAGTGTGCCTTTGTGCACAAATAGCTTCTGGAACTCCCCTAGTCTAGCATTCTGTAGAATACCAATGACAAAACGTATCCAGCGAGAATATGTACGTTTGTTTCGGAACGCTAATTAGAAGTTAAACTCCAATAGCACACGGATTTGCATTCTTTTAGTTTTTCTCGAAGTAAAATCTCTCAGGCACATCTTCCTTCAGCTTGACAATTTCATGTTTTTTGTTTCTTTCAATTCCACCTTCCTTCCTTTTTGCTATTTTGAGCTGTTTTAACTCCGCTTTCCGCCATGTTTGTTTACATTCACGTTCCCCCCAAATAATCCCATAAATGCGCGGGCTCCTAGTTCGGGTCCCAGGCTATCAATCTTTTCCGAAGCGAGCTATTGGACGAGATGGAATAAGCACGACAAAGTTTAAAGCATCATTACTTCACTTTTTAAGTGACGTTTTCGTAGCCGTCGCCGCCGTTGTAGCTTAAGCTCCTTAATAAAGCTGTGATGGTGGAGAGGGGAAGGTATCACCTCTCTATGAACCAGGCAGGAAAAGCCAAGACATGAAAATGAAAAGATGCTACCCTTACTGAATATGAGACCTTAGAAAATTCAAAGTTTCAGCTAAAAATTAGCTCGTTGGACAAGCATTTTTTTGAGATAAGGTAAGCTCGAACTGTTTCTACTAAAAGTACTCATACCGGCCTTTCTGCTTTTCAGCTTTTTGCAAACCAATCCTGGATACAATCAGGATCAATCAGTCGAAGGAGACACATATTTTAAATAAATTTTGATATTTTCCTGTTTGAAACCAGCAATGTCCATCGCTTTGTTATGGCAGTCCTGGCGCGCCCGGCAGGGATGGTGCTCCAGGAGCACCAGGCAACGACGGACGTGACGGAAGTGATGGCAGTCCTGGTACGCCCGGCAGGGATGGTGCTCCAGGGGCACCAGGCAACGACGGACGTGACGGAAGTGATGGCAGTCCTGGTACGCCCGGCAGGGATGGTGCTCCAGGGGCACCAGGCAACGACGGACGTGACGGAAGTGATGGCAGTCCTGGTGCTCCAGGGGCACCAGGCAACGACGGACCTGACGGAAGTGATGGCAGTCCTGGCACGCCCGGCAGGGATGGTGCTCCAGGGGCACCAGGCTACGACGGACGTGACGGAAGTGATGGCTATGATGGGGCTAAAGGTGATAAAGGTGACCGAGGATTGCAGGGGAAGACTGGATCTCAGGGACCTCCTGGTGACAAGGGACCTGGGGGTGTAAAGGGAGAGGAAGGGGCTAAAGGAGAAACTGGAGCCCAGGGTCCTTCCGGTCAAAATTGCGAACTTGGCCCTATGCCGTTTAAGAATTGGAAAGAATGTGCCTGGGACAACTTGGATGATCAGAAGGACAGTGGTCTGATCAAGGTGAGGCGTGCATTTGCGATTGATCAGCATACAATTATCAAATTCGCACACAATATAGAGCATGCAGCAGCCATTGTCCGAAAGGCATTTTGCTTGCCCAGTGCAGATACCAACAAACAGCTATTAGCTTCTGGCATGCCTCTCCTGTAAAACGACATCCTTTATACAGTGGCCTAGTTACACAGGTAGGCTTGCATAAATTCTGTCGGCAGATAATCTGTTCATGTTGTCCTCCAGCAGCATAATTAAAAATATATAAAACTGTTCTGCTGATGGAGTGTCTCTAGACAAAGGACCTCTAAAAGCGCTTAAGAATGGTCTCCAAAATAAAATACTAAAATAGAAGGTCTGCGAATTCAGTACATTCTTCTCGGGAATAGAATGTAGGCTTGCCCTTTCTAATGTAAAATGCTTCATAGAGGTGTAGATTAGCGGGGTCGTTTTCACCTATAATAATCTTGACATCAATGCCTTTATAGTCTTTGTTCTGGCAGGAATAGATATGTATTATATTCTGTTGGCAGAATTTCGAGCGCATAAGGTACAATGAGGTACTCTTTCCAGCATTGTCCATGGTTAGTCGTTATCAAAACTTGAAAAAAATGTGAAAATATAAATAGCATTTGCAAAAATAATTAGTATGTGTAATCAAATGGTGACGAGTGAAATTCGGGAATAATTTCTCGCGCGTTTTGTCCTTTAGGCTCGGGAAATTATAAGGATTTGGACAAAACGCGCGTGAAATTATTCCCTAATTTCATGAGTATACCATTTGATTACCTATTAATATCATGGGTGACGAATTACGTTAGCAATCGAGGATTTTTGACTCGTTTATCCTGGATCGTATCGATCGATGGTGAACTCCACTCTCTCAAACGTTTAGAGCTAAAATTTGGCTTAAGTTTTCAGAATTTTCCACAAAATACCTATAAGAATCGTTCTTGATGTGCTCTTTCGTGTGTTCAGGTTTTCTAAAGCGTATTTTTATGCCCCGACATCTTCATTCATGACATTTTAAAACTTCCTCGCCATCTTGAAACGGAGAAGTACGGCAGGTTGTTATGGCAGTTTGGTAATTTCACATGTGAAATTACAAATTAACGCTGGCACCAAAATTAAGGAGTAATTCGTCACCTATGATATTATAGGAATTAAAAAATACTGTTTCAACTAATTTGAGCAATAATGAGCAAGATCAGGCGACGAATAGCCTGTGTGGCAGATGTTTGAAAGGGAGGGAGAGCGGGAATCTGGGCGCGCGATAAGCGAGAAAGTCAGTCCCTCTCGCTTGGTCTAGCGCCCAAATTCCCTTCCCTTTCCCTTACAAACGCCTGTCACCCGGGCTGTGTAATAAGATACAATTTCACTATGCCTCAATGAGAGCTATGTCCTTTTTTCCTGACATTTTTGCCAAATTCAAAATGCCCAAACGCCTGACATTTTTTCCCCTGTATCCTGCACAATTTAGGTACTTACTTATGTGGGGCGTAAGACTGCAATGATGTAACGCTGTCCGGGCCTAATTGCTTGCCTCCACCAAGGCCTTAAGGTCCTTCTTCAGTTCGTATTTCGGTCTGCTCGGTTATCTTTCTCCAGTTTGTGGTGCGCCCTCCTTGGGGGTTGAACGTAGGGTTAACAACTCCTCGCCGTAAATTAAAATAAGATGCAGTTACTAAAATTACGGCGAAAATCAGAATTTAGGTGACTGAGCAGAATTAGGAAACTGAAGCAATTTTTACAAGCACTAGTGACAGGCAGAGTAAACTATTTAACGTTCAAGCAGATCTTATTCTTAGCCTAGCCAAAATTGTCAGTAAATCACCTCGGAAACTTCCTACGCTTGTAAAGTTTTCAAGAATGTCATCATTTTCTTCAGTGTTTCGGGTAAAACTCAGAGGCTTTGGCATAACAAAAGCGTGCTTGCGGGTGTGATTACTGAACAGCTCTTGCTTTGTTTCTACAAAAAATGTAAGTTTAACGAGTAACGATTTCTCTGGCCTGTATTTCATGGTAAGACTCGTAGCCTAGTCGCTGCTACTAGCAAGGACGTTTCATCTTTCAGTTGACTCTGAAGACTTATGCACCGATCAATTCGAAACTTTAACATCCCCAAAGCAACCCCCTTGGGCATTTGAACTTTTTAAGACAGGCCTGGTTAAATTCTCCTTCTCTCCTCAGCAGAGGCTCCCGCTAGGTATCCCATTGTCCCCTGCGCTCCCCTCTCCCCAGCTTCCCCACGGTACAAAGGAAAGAGACTGATTCTGCTTATAAATTACGGCCCAATGTAGTAGTCAAATGCTTCTCCCAAAGGAGAAATATTTGACAGATTATATGGTGTGTGGATTAATGTATAGCAAATGTTTCGGACGTCTAAAAGTAGGTCGGGCTTATATCTCCCAGTAATAATGTACTTTATATTAAAAAAGGGAGTGAAATTAGGGTCACAGTTAAACTGCATACATGTAGCTTTTGAAGTCCTTGTCGAACAAGAAATTCGTTTACAAAAGAAATCGAATCTTATTGCAGTTTTAAATGATTTTTTTTAACTTAGTACATGTTTGCATTATATATAGTTTGTTTATTCTTTAGTATTTCTTATTACTTGTGACTTTTTATTGTAGTTTTTAACGGTTTCTAACCTAGTGCATGTTTTCTTTTTATGTATTTTTGTTTATTCTTATTTATTAGATTTTTATTTTTTTAGTCAGCAGGACCCAATTGATAACAGTACTTGGTACTTTAGGGTTATCCTGATTAAATATTCGATGATGATGATGATGCTTATTATTAATATCATTATTATTAACTTGAGGCTTGAGGTTCAAATTCCGGACTCCCCACCCCCAGGTCAAATGCCCGGGGGTTGCCGGGAATGTGAAGGTTTCGAATTGGTAGGCGCATACGACTTCCAGCAACCAATACGCGTGACATCTGGAATTGCGAATGTCAAAGATCCAGCTGAAAACGGGGAGGTGGAGGGGAAGACAAGTAACCAGGTCACCGTTTCTGTGGGGTGCGTTGACGGGGATCAACTTTAAAACCTTTAGGTGCTTGTGGATCTATGCCTAGCCGGCAAAATCTTGGGTACCAAATTAAGAAATGCAAGGCTGACTGCAGTACTAGTAGATTATATTAAGTCCCTTTTTCCAAAAATGGATAAATTCAACCTCCCAGCGGTAGGGTCAGCCCTGCCTCTACATCTATCAACTGTTTTATTTGTCTGTCCACAACGACCACAATCAATATTGCGCACTGGGCAGTTGCTATTAGATCTAAGCTAGATCTAGGTTTTGGATGTCATGGAACATGGAACAACGTGTTGCCCAGCCTCTTCCCATTAATAGATTTTCTGTCTTTTTTTTTTGTATTTTTTGCAGGGCTGTAGTTTCACCAAAATCTTCTCTGATACTTCTCTTCATGTTTACTGGACGGGTACATTGAGAATTTACAAATGCAATCGCTGCTGCAAACGTTGGTACTTCACTTTCAATGGCAATGAATGTTCTGGACCTCTGCCCATTGACGGAGTGGTCTATATGCAGACAGGCAGAGATAAAGATCTCCTTCGCGTCCGCCATATTGAGGGGCACTGTAATAACATTCCCAAAGGAAAGGTGTTTGTGGGATTCTGGATCGGCAATTGCCCCGGATATGGATACGCTGATGGCAACACAGGATGGAATTCAGTATCCCGTATATTTGTTGAAGAAGTCCCTAAACCTCAAGATTAAAATGGACTTTAGATTAAACTGACTGATGAGATTCATGAGTTATGATAAGTTCTTATAATACGCAAAAGCAAACGTAGATAAAAGACTTTGAAAGGGAGTGAGTGATTTCGACTCCTAGGTGTTGGGTAGTCTGTTGATGACGTTTATAATAATTTTAGACAGTAAGGCTCTAGATTGTTAAAAGCTATAACTCCCAAGTCCGGGATTTCAGCACTTTCTATTAACATTTGATTAACCCTTTAAGCCCTAAGTGTGATCAGCATCAAATTTCTCCTTGTGATATCAATGCTTTGTAAAATAGAGTGGTTATGAGAATTACAGACATGATCACACAAGATGAATTTGCCTGATATTTTATCAACTTCTCCCCACTAGTTATGTAGGAAATGAATAGGGGCAACAAATGAGAATTCAAATTTTGATCTTAGGGTTTAAAGGGTTAAGACATTTATTAAAGTGTATAACTAAACAGAAGGATTTACTGTTTGAGGTTATTTAACTATTTCTCATTCGATTCAAAGCAATTCTTCTAAAGGTTTGCTAATAGCAAGATTTGTCACCTGACCTGAAACTAATCAAACCTCAGTATTTCTCGCCAGTAGACTGAAAACAGGGAATTAGCTTCGGTTACTTTCGAAGTTTGAGGCAACTCATAAGTTTAGTGATGGAACATTTTATTATGTTTACTCTTGTGATAGCTTTTTGGTCAAAGGCTCCCCATTTCAGTACCATTTAGCAACTGAAAAGTGGTTGCTAATAATTCGTCGTCATTTTTCTTTTCGCTCCAACTTTCACGTCTAGCTCCTGTTCTCATTTTTCTTACACGGTCGGAGAATTTGAACCCGGCGATTTCCTGGAACTCCAACTGATCAGCAAAGGCATAAACAGCTTACTGCAGGGTACGTTTCTCTAGGCCTTATCCTGAATTCCTTACAAATTTTCGGATTGAAAGTTCAACTCATGCAAACATTGCATTTTGCAGTTTGCGCTACACTCACTGAGCCTGCATTACCGTGACTAACCTCACTGTCAAGAAAGTAGTTGCCCGGCATTTCGCCCTACTCCAGTGTCCCCCGTTATGAACGATTTATTTTCCCTTAAGAAAAATTTGCTTCTATAGCTCGCTATCTCTTTTTTACTCCGATTCCTGCCGTGTTCTTGCAACTGAAAAGAGTTGGACAAGATTCGACCACAGTTGATAGGGACGGAATAAAATCCATTCTCAGCACTGGAAGTTTTGGTAAGTACAGTAAGCTGCCTTATACACAGAACAGTTCCCTAGTTCCCTGACTGGTAAGTGGGGCTGGACTTTTTTGAAAAATTCCTCGTTGTGTGCTTCGTTGATAATTTTATTCATTCAACTCGTTAATTTTTTCTAATTGAAAGTATACTAAGGGGGTAATTCAGCTTCAGCTTCTAGTCTTGCCAGGGTCCCCAACAGCCGGTCTTTTCAGCAGCCTTCCGCGCCTGAGGATCCGACGGCTTGTTGATTGGTGGGACTGTGCTGTTGATATAATACTGCATTCTCTCTTTCTGCGTTGCCGTAGATAACAGAGAAAGAGCTAGAGCCAGAGATAAAAAACAAAGAAGACCAATTTTGTTTGAAGAATAACATGAAAATTTTATAGCGGCTGTGAGAAAATGAGAAATACTAGCGGCTCCCAAGGTAAAAATGATCAGCAGCGAAAAAAGTTTCTGGAAGTTTTACGTTGTCCTCGTGCAAAACAACGGCAAAGAAATGTACAAAAAAAAGTGTGCGGCACGTGCAAAGATGGCTTTTTTTTGCTGTTTTCGTTGTCGTCGCCGCTTGGTTAGCATTACGCGATTTTATATTTTGTTTTAGTAAACTATAGATATTAACGAGAGCTTCGCTTTTAGCCCTAGCTGAATCTATATATTACTTCACAGGAGTCGGATCAATTCAAAAAAAGGGCCTGTTTACATAAAGGTGGGAGACCCGAGGTAGGTGGGGTAACCCGCATAGGTGGGGTAACCTGCCTGTCCATATACTCGCTCATTTTACTTTGGTAGGTGGGGTGACAGAAGGGTTACCCTAACTAAGCGGGTTACCTCACCTACATGAAGAATAATGCCGCAGAAAACAACTAGTCACGGTGCACGGCCGAGACGCGCAAGTGTACTCGTTAAGATGGCGTCGAAAACCGTGACAGCCAAAGATAAAAAATTGCACAGTCACTGTCAATGTGCTAATCAAATCAGCGGCGACACTATTGCTTTCATCTTTGATTTTCATCGCCTTTCATAACCAGTCTCCTCTAGTAACTATGGTTTTAGAATCGATGATGTTCAGAAGAAATCACATAAAAAAGGGTGAAAGAAAAATAACTTACCAAAAATAAGTTTCCACTGAAATCTTCTTTACTTGACATTATTATGTCTCGAGCGGTGTGCTCGACGGAGTAAACAAAATACAGACAGCTCGTAGTCTAAGAAATGGTTAAGTTGACTGCATATATGTTTGTATATTGTTTTCATCGTGTGAACAATTTTAAAATTAACCTTTTCTTATATCAACTACTAGCGAGGTAAATATATGGACTTAATTCTCACCTGCTAGATTGATTAACGTTGGATACCGGTCCGTCACGTGCAACAATTCTCTGTTTTTCACGCCTTTTTGCTGCAGTAATTTTCATGGACAAATGCAGCCCCTCGGGCTCCTCCCTCCCGCACGGTTTGCTTTGTACCACGGAGGAGCCAATTGAAACCTCCGGTTATTCTTTCATGTTACGCTTACGCCAAATAGACCTACTGTTTCATATAATAGTAATAGAATGTCCATACTCATGTATACCCGGTATACCCTGTATACCCTATATACCCTGTGTACCTTGTATGCCCATGTATACCCTGTATACCCTGAATACCCTTGTATACCCTGTATACCCATGTATACCCTGTATACCCTTGTATACCTTGTATACCCTGTATACCCATTTATTATATACATACTGAGAAATACTCACCAAAAAGCTATGACGTAAATTTTCGTGCGCAAATTAGTTCTAGCCAATCAGAGGAGCGAACGATGGTTTTCACACGTGAAAAAAATGATACGTCCAATCAGAATAGCGAACGATGTTTTTTCACGTGTGAGAAAAATGATACGTCCAATCAGAGGCCACAGAGGTGTGTGAGTTTCGCGCCAAAATTCCCGCCTTTTATTGCAGCTTGCAGCGCCGCTTTGTACACATTCAACGAGAAAAGTTTTACTCAAAGAGTTTTTCTCCCTAAAAAAAAGTGAAAAACATTTTGGAAATGGAGTGGAATACTTTCGTTTGTTTCACTGTCGATAAAGAAAACGGTAGAGAGCCGGCAAAACAACAGCGGAAGGGGAAAAACAGAAAGAGACGTAAGCTTTTGTTGTGCTTTTTGTCGGAGCTACTTTGCCTTTCACCTAATATAAGCTTGAGCTTATATTGAAACCGGCCATTTTATTTGAATTCACTCATTTTCAATTGTGCATTGAAAACAAACAGTTAAGATTACTTATAGTTTTTGGATTACCTCATATCCTCACCGTCATTTATGTTTTTAACAAACGTTTTTACTAAAAAGCTGATACTTCGTTTTCGTTGTCATTTTGTGTGTAGCGGCAAATTTTAGCATTTTTGAAAGATTTAAAATAAAAAGGCCGCCAAAATGATGAATGTCTCAGTATGTATATAATAAACACAATACCACATGGAAAGTGCTGGCGTACGGTATTTACGCACTCGTTGTTTTTGTATCAGAAATCTTACTCGTTCGCTGCGCTTCGCTATCAAGTGTTTTTTCAGCAGGGTAGGGTGGCTTTGGGCAAATGATGTATCGGTCCCCAGAAAGGGTGCCAGAAAGGTCACCTCAGGACTCCCGGGATGGATTTTTTTTGTACAGTGCCCAGGCTTCATTTTCTTGGCCGCCTGTTGATCTGGCCCGGCTGCTTCGGCGAGCATATTCTCGGTCTGTTTGGATTGTATCCTTCGAGTTTGTCAAAGTCTGTGGGATTCGTTTCTCTATCTGGGAAAGCTTCATTGGTTTCTATATCTGCTGCTATCCTATTTCTACTGTCCTGGCATGTTTATTTTCCGTTGGAGTTCGAATTTCGTGGAAAAAGTTGTGTTGAATGAGAGCATGTCGGCGAAAATGGCATCTCGTGTTTCCTACCTTGTATGTTATTATTGTATATAGAGTGAATTTGAACAAATTACTGCAAATTATCACGACCCTTCGTTAGAGCAATAAGGACAACAACAATTAACTGCAGAGTAAGTTTCATTGAACTTTAATTTAATATTTCCTAGAAATTTTTGGATGGTATTTTTACCCCATACAAACACTGTAATTTTACTGGAACCGTACTGTGGTACTGTGGTACTATGACAGAGCCTGGGTTACCTGTGGTATACCCTGTATTCTGTATACCTTGTATACCCTGTATACCCATGTATACCCTGTATACCCTGTATACCCCTGTATACCCTGTATATCCTGTATACCCATATATACCCTGTATACCTTGTATACCCTGTATACGCATGTATACCTTGTATACCCTGTATACCCATATCTCTCCCGCTTTCTGCCCTTTAAGAACTCTTATCCCTGGCAGTTTTCTCCCCCGCCTCCGGTACATCTCCCTCCCCATATTTTCCCGGGCTCCCATCCCTTTTCTTATCTTATCATCACTGAAATGACTACTTACACCAAGTTATGATCCATTTGCAGGGCAACTCCACCAGCTATAATGGAAGCCCTTACAACAGTTTAAGGAACATGTTAGTTGTGTAATTAGTTTAATGCACGGAACTTGACAATGAACGCCTCAACGTATCCTGCTGTCTTGAAAGCCTCATCCAGAATGTCTAGCATGCCGGCATACGTTCTTCTGAGATTATTCTTGGTAAATTTTTATTTATTACGAATGTATTGTTGAGGCGCTTGAACAGGATCATTAACGTTCTGAAAGGCCATGTATAAGAACAAAGGTGTAGCGGGGTCGTGTGGTTTAACAATTGTCTCCATCCTCTGTAAAGAAAGTGAATAGTCGCTTTACGACTTTCAGTGATTACAAATTTTGAAAGCCCGGGCATAGGGTGCAACTTTCCTCTACCGTTAAGTGCCGCTTTTAAGATCTCCCACTTATAAGGCCTCCTAGCAAAAGTAAATGGAAACTTTTCATCTGACGCTGAACATTATGCTGCAGAGAAGGGTATTCTAAGAGCTAATCTTCAAGAACACAACCTAAAACGTTAACAAGTTAACATTGATTATTCACATTTATGGATAACGGAAAACATCTTTTACGGCACTGAACCTGCCCATCACCTCCGCGAGATACCTTCGCATAATTTTTTGTTGGCGCATACTCTGCAGGCCAAATCTTTCGGCCGTCAGCGCAGAATCTTTTAAGGCCTAATAATTCCCTAATTGAAGCTTAGCTTGAACATGCAAATTAACTTACGTTACGAAACATTTTCCCATCGGGAATAACCTAAGGATATATAATATGCGTTTAGAAGACGGTATTTTCTTACCCTGATGATGACCCGTGTAGTGTCGAAAACGTTCAGATTTTTCTTTTTATAAATATATATGTTTTAGCCTTGTAGATAATTCCCTTTTTAAACCTAAGCGAATTTTATGGACAAAATAACATTCCAACCTTGATCCACGCCCAGGTTGTTACTGTGCTTCGCATTAGGGTTCATTTCCAATTTTCTGTCGAGCACGGCCCCTCCCACTCCCCCTCCCCCTACTCTTTCAACTATTGGAGGCCAAGGGAGGCAAAGGGAAAGTCATTTTGGGGGAATTGTAAGAATTTCTACTTAATGACGGCTCATTTAGCTTCTTAGAACATTATTTTTTATTTTTAAATGCTAATTCCATTCGGTCTCTGTTTACCTGGCACATCTCTAACCCAACCTTTGATCCACGCCCAGGTTGAGGGCTATTATGCTTCGCATTAGGGTTCATTTCCAATTTTCTGTCGAGCACGGCCCCTCCCACTCCCCCTGCCCCTACTCTTTCAACTATTGGAGGCCAAGGGAGGCAAAGGGAAAGTCATTTTGGGGGAATTGTAAGAATTTTCTACTTAATGACGGCTCATTTAGCTTCTTAGAGCATTATTTTTTATTTTTAAATGCTAATTCCATTCGGTCTCTGTTTACTCCGGCACATCCTAACCCAACCTTGATCCACGCCCAGGTTGATACTATGCTTCGCATTAGGGTTCATTTCCAATTTTCTGTCGAGCACGGCCCCTCCCACTCCCCCTCCCCCTACTCTTTCAACTATTGGAGGCCATGGGAGGCAAAGGGAAAGTCATTTGGGGGGAATTTTAAGAATTTCTACTTAATGACGGCTCATTTAGCTTCTTAGAGCATTATTTTTTATTTTTAAATGCTAATTCCATTCGGTCTCTGTTTACTCTGGCACATCCTTGTGTTTTTACTGGCAGTCCTCTTATGGATATGTTATTTTATTGCAAGACCCTCTTAAGTTGTTGATTGCAAATAAGGGGCTATTCTGGGATAACTAAATTTTAATTGAGGAGAGGAAAACTCTGAATTCTAGCATACTAGTGATTCATGTTGATCTAAGTGATCGAATAAACTGAGTAAACTTAGATAGCGCTATCGTGAAAATGGCGGGATATGCAGCAGAGACAAGGACACAGTCACGTAGCTTCTCTTGTTGGTACTTGAATCACCATGACAACAGGGGTTGATCTTTAAGGAAACACGTCATCTGTTCTGTTGATGGCCATGGATTCTGACCATTCATATTGAAGAAATGGTGTGACGTGATATTCTTTAACTACAAAGCAACATTGAACCTGTGGAAACAGGTTTTACCTTTGCTTTTAGTTTGGCTGGGTGAAGCTACGTGAGCTGAACACAGGATCAAGACTGCCAAGGTACATTTACTTAATCTTAACCAAGGAGGGACTTCGTTTTAGTTAATAGCCTCTTTGTTTAACATCAGGAAACTATAGCTTACTAGGAAGCCATTCGCTCAAGAAAGTGCAGGGAAAGAGCACAGAATAATGCATACATCTGAGCTTCTGTGTGGGTACCCACACACGTCAATTTCGTAGCGCGGTTTCCATCAAATCCTTGGTTTTTCAGGCGAAATCGTGGCATATCAAATGATCATGAATTGCACTCTTTGCGTGTAACGCTACTAGCGAGCTCGGTACAACAACGACGGAAACGAGAAAATGAGCGAAAAAAAACTCTGAACGTGCAGCACACTCTTGCAAGGTTCGTTGCCGTCATCGCAAAACCGACGTTGTCAAACTAAATTGAAATGACAATGCGATCGTCGCTTTGGTCTCTAAGATGGTCACTTCATTAATGGTGATCGTCGCGACTTCGATTTCGTCGGAAATGCTCATTCAGAGACTCATATCTACAGTTTTCTAGGGATTTTTCCCTTCGGTCTGTGCGTATTACTGCGATGCAAATACTTGATATAAAAATTGTATGTAGCAAAGATTACTTGCATGTGGGAATAACAATCAAAGTAATAAATTTTAGTAATCAAAGTTTCATAACGAACACTTGCGCATTATCACGACACATTAAGTGACTCCAGATTACGTGCACCTTTTCTGCTCCCTAAAAACTAGGATTTGAATTGCGTGTTCAAGTAATGTAAGTACTTAAGCTGATTTAAAATTCTTTTTTACACTCACCGGGCTTCGCATTACGCATGTGCACAGCAATATCCCTTTTGAATAATTATTTACCAAGGGTTAAAAGTTAATTCTATTATTTCAACTTTGTTTTGTTAAGTAAATATTTTCGGACCACTAACAAAACTGATGGGTGCTTGCGAAGAACACTAAGCAACAACATCTGATTTTTGTGGAGGTGGGGTGGGGGGCTTAGTGCCCTAAAGTAACAGGCTAAAGTATATCATCCTCTTTTCCACAGGCAGCTGAGTAGCTTTTGATAGATCTGGTCACGTGAGCTTGTCGAGCTGATCATGCTAAGTTTATTAATGTTACTGCTGACAACAATGACTGCTGTAACGGCAACTAGCAACAACAAACAGTCTGCTCAAACTACGGTACAATTTTTTTTGCAACTTTTGACCTTTTTTGAACAACTTTTTGGAAACTTTTTGAGAAATTATGGGATTTGGGGGGTGGGGGGGAATCTCGAGCAACTTGTGGAAAGCTCTCAGGACGCTACGCCCCTGACATTTGACAATAAAGACGTGATGATGTAGAGGAGAAGATAAGAAGCAGGCAGGAGAAGCGAACACATGAAAATAAAAAAATTCCACCGTTTCTGAATCTGAGACCTTAGGAAATTGTCAGCTAACAATTAGCCCGTTGTACAAGTATTTTTTTTTAGATAAGGAAAGCTCGAGCTGTTTCAACTAAAAGTACACATACCGGCCTCTCTGCCTTTTAGCTTTTTTATCAATCAGTCGAAGGATAACAACATATATATATTTTATAATTTTCAATATTTTCTTGTTTGAAACTAGCAATCTCCATCGTTTTGTTATGGTGGTTGTGGCATTCCCGGTATGCCCGGCAAGCATGGTACTCCTGGGGCACCAGGCCGCGACGGACGTGACGGACGTGATGGCCGTGATGGAGCTAAAGGTGATCAAGGATTGCAGGGGAAGACTGGGCCTCAGGGACCTCCTGGTGATAAGGGACCTGCTGGTGTAAAGGGAGAGGAAGGGGCTAAAGGAGAAACTGGAGCCCAGGGTCCTCCCGGTCAAATAATGGAATTTGGCCCGATGCCGTTTAAGAACTGGAAAGAATGCGTCTGGAAAAACGTGAATGATGGAAAGGATAGTGGTCTGATCAAGGTGAGTCGTGCATTTGCCACTGATAGGCATAAAATTATCAAGTTTACACGCAACATAGATCATGCAGCAGCCATTTTCCAAAAGGCTGGTTTGCTTGCCCGATGCAGATACCAACGGACATCTATGGGATACTGGCTTGCGCTCTTATAAAGCGACATCCTTTATATAGCGGCGTAGTTAAACACGTAGGCTTGTATAAATTCTGTCGGCAGAATTTCGAGGGCATAAGGCACTCTTTCCAGTATTGTCAATAGTATTCACTATTGGTCATCATCAAAATAAAATCTGAAAAAGGAAACCGTGAAAATGAAAATAGTAATTGCAAAATAAGATTAAAATAGGAATTAAAAAAATACCGTTTCAACTAATCTGAGCGATATTGAGCAAAATGCGATGAATAGCCTGCGTGGCAGACGTTTGAAAAGGAGGGGGAACGGGTTACGGGCGCGCGCGAGATGCGCGAAAGTCTCCCTAGCGCGTGGTCTCTCACTCAATTTCCCTCCCCCTTCCCTTACTAACATCTTGCACCAGGCTATGCAATGAGATACAATTTCGCTATGACTCAATGAGGACTATGTCCTTATTCCCGGCCATGTTTGTAAAATTCAAAATGTCCGAAGGCCAGAAATCTTTTTCCCGGTACCCAGCACAATTTGGGTACTTATTACTTACTTGGAGCGTTAGACTGCAAAGATCTAACGCTGTCAGGGCCTTATTCCTCGCCTCCACCAATTCCTTTCTTGAGGTAGGTCCCTCTCCAGGTTGTATTTCGGTCTGCCCGGTTCTCTTTCTCCAGTTTGTGGCGCGCCCTACTTAAGGGTTGGGGGTAGGGTTAACTACTCCTCACCGTAAAATAAGATGCAGTTACTGAAACTTTGGGGACAATCAGAATTTAGGTGTCTGAGCAGAATCAGTAGCAAACTGAAGCAATTCAGTTTACGAGCAATTGTCGGTAAATCACTTCGGAAACTTTATTACGTGGCCGCTTGTCCATTGTCCGAAGAGATCCACTTACTTGTTCTATCTCATATAGCTGTTCAACAACTGGCGCGATTTGGCTTTGGGAACAAAGAGGTACTTGGGCTTAATTGTGCTATTTTTCATACAGAACCGTCAAAAGGCAAAGTGTCCGTTTTATGCAAATAGCCTCACTTACAGGCGTTCAGATAGTGGAGTGCGAGAGAGGTAAGAGAGCTGGACAAATATGTAGAAAGAGAGGGAGAGGGGGAGAGGTTCCTTCTCTCTCACACCCCCTACCCGGTCGCTTGAACTTGTTAATATCACAGCCCAAGAGTTATTTGCAAGATAACCTGATCCAGGTGTTCAGATGGTGGGGACGGCGTCAGAGAAGTGAGCAGGAAAAACAGCAAGGGGGTGGGGTAGGGGATGAGAGAGAGAAGGAACCTCTCCCCCTCTCCCTCTCTTTCTACACATTTTTCCCGCTCTCTTACCTCTCTCGCACTCCACTATCTGAACGCCTGTAAGTGAGGCTATTTGCATAAAAAGGACACTTTGCCTTTCGACGGTACTGTATGAAAAATAGCACATTCAATTTAGAGACAAACTACGTTTGTAAAGTTTTCAAGAATGTCCCGATTTTCTTCAGTGTTTTGGGTAAAACTTTGAGGCTTCGGCATAGCAGAAGCGGGCCTGTGCGTGTGACTTCTGAACCCTGTGAACAGTCTTTGTCTAGAGACATTCCATCATTAGAACGTTGTATTCCATTCACAGTTTATTTGTATAGCTTTTATACATACGTCACATCTTTTACACATTTCACCTAACACCTTCTTTGCATATACATAGAGCGCGCGGAATATTTTCTCATCGCTGATGATGCCGTAGCCAGCGAACAGCAGACGTATTTCCGGTCGTTGTTTCTCTCCCCCCGAAAAATAACGTCTGCGAACCGAGCGGCAAAACGATTTCCGTGACGTAGAAACTTTTTAGTCAATCACGGTTTAGCTCTTAAAATCAAGGAACTAACTCGCGAGACTTCTCGCAAGATCGTGCGCGGTGGATATGTTTACCAGTCGAAATTGAAAGGACGACGGAGCCTGTGTACAGCCGCCCTTTTTCCTCAGAACGACGCGTTGACGAAAGTTAATTTGCCAGGATTGTGCGGCTTATTGATGAAATAAGCATCAAGAGGATTCATATTGAAGAAAATGATTAGAGGACATTTTTTATCTATTTGCCTACGCAGTCAATGATTTATCACACCTAGTTGTTTTGATCATATTCGAAACGATAAATGTCCTGATGATAGTAGACGCATCATGCCGACTGTTGCTTCCGTTCCTTTCTGGTTTCTCGCATGAAAGTATGCCTTGGAGAACTCTTCGATAGTTTTTGGTGTCCCGCTTTAGATATTTTTTGGTAGATATCCTTTATTTTTTAAAGGACATGTGCTAATTGATTTCCCATGCGTGGTTGCTTCTTGGTTCAGACAGAACTTTGATCAGATCGAAAGCATTTTTGTTCTTATATTTCTTTTAATTAAATACATTTTCTTTTCAAGGTTTTAATTTCCATAGTTTTTTATATGAGTCGAAGAGTCGCAGCTGAAATGTCATCTTGACTATGATCAATTTACAGCTATAACTATTTATTTCACGCAGGGTCTGGCCCAGGTTTACAATATTTCAGATCATAGTTTTGTCAGATTTGTGGCGATACTTGAATTATTAACAAGCGATCGTCAGAGATTTCTGAATCAGTCGAGGATGTGTCTGTATAATTTATTCATCACCATTTGTCACCGCTGGTTGAATTGAAATAAATACGTCCGAGCGCGATGTCATTAAGCTATGTTGCTTTCCTTTCGCTTGAGCGTTTATTTTATTTTGTCCAGGTTTTGTTTATGTCACGTACTACCGTATTTTCATAAACAGCATTCAACGTCGCAGGAAACCTTGTTATGGTCGTGAAATTCACGTTCCAAAGCGTATTTGGTTACTCTCGCCAAAATCCAAGACACGCCAGCAAGGAGTCACTCTAGGAGTCACTCGAGCTGTTTTCTACCCTTTGGTCTGATTGGCCAACGACAAAACAAACGGTTTTGCGTCACGGAAATCGTTTTGCCGCTCCGGTTCGCGAACGTTATTTTTCGGAGGGAGAGAAGCGACGACCGGAAATACGTCTGATGTTCCCATGCTAATGATGCCGTTGATCGGCGAAAGCTTGGATTTTGGATTTCACTTCTTTAAACAGCAGTTTGAGGCCTTACTACAACAGTTTTAAATTTTTTCTGAACAAATGTGGTGACCTTCTTGAAAATGATTTTACGCATGTTGGCTCTACCAAAAAATGAAAGGTTAACGTTTGCATGTAACGATTTTTCTCAATTAGCCCTTGCATTTAGACCTTTATCTCATAGTAAGACACTCAGCAGAGTCCCTGCTACTAAAAAGGACGTTTTATCTCTCAGTTGACTCTGAAGACTTATGCGCCGATCAATTAGAAACTTTAACATCCCCCAAGGGCCCCTCCTGGGCATATGAACTTCTTAAGACAGGCCTAGTCAAATTCTCCTTCTCTCCTCCGAAAAGGCTCCCGCTGGGTATCCCACTAAAAAGAGTCTCTTTCCCCTTTCCATTGTCCCCCGCGCCCTTTCCATCTCCTAACAGGCCTTTGCGGAGGAGAGAGAAATTCTCCTTATACATCAGCCCAATGTAGTACTGTAGTCAAATTCCTCTCCCAAAGAAGAAATGTTTTGCAGATTATATGGTGTGTGGATTACAGCTGTTTCGGATAACACGCGACCCGAGTTGTCAAAAACGTTTCAGGATTTTGGTTTTTTCTTCTACTTCAATCAAACCGTTACCATAGCATCCAATCCTATTTAGTCAAATAAAGGCGGCAATAACGAGCAGAAGCCAAATTTAATGTTGGCGGGAACGTACCGATTCGTTTTCATCCTCCCATATCTTTCTTTCATCTGGATTTGGAAGCTCTATAGGAACAATCTGACCTTGGGAATCTAAGCTTTCCATGTTTCAGTAAGAAGGTAAAAAAATTGGAGAGTTAAAACGTAACGGGAACTCTGAAGTTCAAAAGCAACAAACCTTGAAACACAGAAACAAACAAATCGCAAACCATGACCTTTTGAACCCGTTGAAGTAAACTTCAGATTTTGATTGACGTCGCAGAAAAACCCAAAATCCGATGACATTTTTGACATTGCAGGTCGAGTGTTATTCGAAACAGCTGTAATGTATAGTAAATGTTTCGGACGTCTAAAAGTACGTCCGGCTTACATGCATCCACGTTGTAACACACCGAATCTTAAAATCTTAAAAAAATTAAACTTCAGGCTTGCGGTTCAAATTCAGCCTTCCAGCTATGGAGTCAGCCCTGCCTCTACATTTAACAACTGATTTATTTGTCTATCCACAACGACCACAACCAATATTGCGCACTAGGCCATGTAGGTCATGTAGGCAGTTGCTGTTAGATCTGAGCTAGATCTAGGTTTTAGATGTCATGGAACATTAATCTGTCGCCGAGCCTCGTCATCAATAGATTTTTTGCCCAATTTTTTTTCGCAGGACTGTCTTTTCACCAAAAACTTTTCTGATACTGCCCTTCATGTTTACTGGACGGGTGCACTAAGGATTACCAACTGCAATACCTGCTGCAAACGTTGGTACTTCACTTTCAATGGCGCTGAGTGTTCTGCTCCTCTGCCCATTGACGAGTTGTTCATTATGAGGACAGTGTGGCGAAAGATTCCATCGGGTGTCCGCCATGCTGAGGGCACTGTAATAACATCCAAAGGAAAGGGTACGTGGGATTTGGATCGGCAATTGCCCCGGACAGTGAAACGCTGATGGGTTATTGCGATGGCAGCGTCAGTATCCCGTATATTTGTTGAAGAAGTTCCTAAAGCTCAAGCTTAAAAGGGACTTTAGATTAAAGTGACTCATAAGATGAATGAGTTATAAAGAGTGCTTATACTACAGAAAGTAAACACAGATACAGGACTTTGAAAGGGAGTGAATTATTTCGACTCCTAGTGTACGTGGTTGGGTTGTCTGTTGATGACTTTTACAATACTTTTAGACATTAGTGCTCCAGATTATTAAAAATTATATAACTCACAAATCCGGAATTTCTTCACGATCTGTTAACATATGATTAAGGCATTTATTAAAGTGTATAACTTAACAGGCGCGTTTGCTGTTTGAGCTTATTTAATTATTCCTCATTCAAAGCAATTCTTCTTAAGGTTTGATAATAGAGAGGTTTGTACCTGACCTAGAACTAATCAAACCTCAGTATTTCTCGTAGATTGAAAACAGGGAATTAACTTAGGTTACTTTCGAAGTTTGAGGCAATTCTCATAAGGTTAGTGATGGAACATTTTATTATGTTTACTCTTGTGATAGCTGCCGAAAGCTTCTTAGTCAAAAGCTCCCTTCAGTACCATTTACCAACTGAAAAGTGCTCGCTAATAAAACGTCGTCATTTTTCTTTTTTCTCCAACTTTCACGCCTAGTTCCTGTTCTCATTTTTCTTACACTGTCGGACAATTAATTTGAACCCGGCGATTTCCTGTAACTCCGACTGATCATCAAAGACAGAAACAGCTTACTGCAGGGTAAGTTTCTCTAAGCCTTATCCTGAATTCCTTACAAATTTTCGGATCGGAAGTTCACCTCATGCAAACATTGTATTTTGCAGTTTGCGATGCAAACACTGAGCCTGCGTCACCTGTCACTGGCCTCACTTTCAGTTAAGTAGTTGCCCGGTATTTCGTCCTAGTCCAGTGTCTGCCGTTATAAACGACTTATTTTCCCGTAAGAAAAATTTACTTCTGTAGCTCGCTATCTCTTTTTTACTCTGATTCCTGCCGTGTTATCGAAACTGAAAAGAGGCTGGACAGATTCGTTTATGGAATAAAATCCATTCTCAGCACTGAAGTTTTAAGGTGTTGGTTTATACACAGAATAGCTCTCAAGTCCTTGACCTCGTAAGTGGGTTGGATTCTTTTCGAAAAATTTCGTTGTGTTCTTTTCATACCTTATCTTCATCCAACTCGTTAATTTTTTCTGATTGAAAGTATACTATGTATTCTAGCCAGCTTCTAGTCTTGCCAGGTCCCCAACAGTCGGTCTTTCTTTTTCAGCAGCTCTGCCTGAGGATCCGACGAAGCTAGTGTTGATTGGTGGACTGTGCGAGCAAGTTGATATAATACTGCATTCTTCAGTTTGCTAACTACATCCGTACTTGTTACTGAGCTGGCTTGGTGTTCGTACGGATCAGCGTCGTTCTTGTAAATTACGCCTCTAATCCTTTTCTGAATTTTGATCCAGTTCTGAATAATAATGGATACACAATATTATAATGACATTGCATGATATAAAATAGTGATAATGATAATAGTAATAAGGAAGTGAACAGAACAGTAAAATAACAGCGGTATTTCAAGGACTCCAGTGTCACTTAATTATCCTCAGAAAATAAACCTTGCCCTTTTGGTTCTTAGCACAACGAATCAATCAATGAGACAATTTACCATTGGCACAACAAAACTATGTATTGACTTCTGGAGACTAATTATTGTCGTTACATAATTATTAAAAGCACCCAGCTCGTTTTAATATTGCGTCTTTTTTATCTTGTTTACTGTTTTTGTCCTCAAGGAAACTTAAAGAACAATTTCGTTTTCACAAGTTTAAAAAGAGAGATAATTTATAAAGCAGACAGATTTCTTTGTTAGTTGTTTGTGTTCCTTTTCCTACCGCGCACAACGTTGAATGTCTTGAATAGTATTCCTATCAATTTTTTATTTTTGAAGTAACTGAGCCCTTGTTCAGACGTCATAGCAGAGGACCATGGGTAAGAAAATTTGTTAAACTAAGTATCCAAGAAATTTGGGTTCTGAGAAAATCGTCCGTACGTAAGTCCAGTGAACAGGACGACACAACATTTCCATAAAACGCGTGTAATGAAAGTTTCGGAAGTTTCGTTGTCAAAACAACGGCAAAGAAATGTAAGAAAAAGTGTACGTAAAGATGGTTTTTTGTTGTTTTCGTTGTCGCCCTAATGGTTAGTATTACCACTTATATTTTGTTTTAGTAAGCTATAGATATTAACGTGAGCCTCGCTTTTTTAGCCCTAGTTGAATTCATATACGGCTTCACACGAGTTTGACCAACTCCAAAAAGGGCCTGTTTTACATAAAGGTGGGGGACCCGAGGTAGTGGGGTAACCTGCCTGTCCATATACTCTCTCATTTTACTTTGATCACGTTTACATGATAGGTGGGGTGACCATATGAGAGATTATATGGACAGGAGGGTTACCCCAACTAAGCGCGTTACCTCACCTACCAGGGACCCTTATTCAGTCACAACGTGTGAGCCAAAGACAAAAAATTGTACAGTCACTGTCAGTGTGCTAATCAAATCAGCGGCGACACCATCGCTTTCATCTTTGATTTTCATCGCCTTTCATAACCAGTCTGCTATAGTAACTATGGTTTTAGAATCGATGATCTTCAGAAGAAATCACATAAAAAAGGGTGAAACAAAACTAACTTACCAAAAATACGTTTCCTCTAAAATCTTCTCACGAATGACGCCATTATTTTGCTGTAGCCCTCACATCCAATCCCGCGGCCGAAACCACGCGGACGTTGGACATTGGCAATAACTTATTAACCACGCGTAGCGCAGCTCCTTGGCTAGTGTCTATATTAATAAGTACTTCGTCTCGTGGCGATGGTTTACCAGAAGAGATTGTTTCCCATATGTCATAACCGTCAACTGGCTTTGGAAATTCTCCGTCAAAACTTCCTCCTATAATAGCAAACAGGTTGTAGCTTATAAATACTTGCTTACAATAAATTAACACGAAAATGAACAAAAGATTACCTTTACCTTAAATCCTTAGTGTACCAAACCTCAAAAAACGCAATCAGATCAGGCATTTATCTTTAAACTAAATTTCTGGGGAAAATCGTGATCAGTTGATAACCCCATAACGGGTTGTTGGCCACTATTTGCTCCGCAATCGTTTGCTTTCATACCTCGAGGGACATGGTAAGTGATAGCCCACACCGGGATACGCGAGCTTCGAGCGGTGAAGCTGCGAGACGCGAGAAACGAGGGCGGCAGCCTCTCCCGTCTCGCGCTTTCACTCAAGCGCGTTGTCATTATCGTGTCTCGAGCGGTTTGCTCGACGGAGTAAACAACACAGACAGTCAGTCTTCTTCATGAAATGGTCTAATTCACAAGGCGCGTTTGTGGCGTCGTTTTGGTTAGCGTTTGAACAATTTCAAAATCAACCTTTTCTTATATCAACTACTAGCGAGGTCACTATGGACTTAATTCTCACCTGCTAGATTGATTAACGTTGGATACCAGTCCGTCACGTGCAACAATTCTCTGTTTTTCACGCCTTTTTGTCGCAGTAATTTTCCATGGACAAATGCAGCCCCTCGGGCCCCTCCCTCCCACACGGTATGCTTTGTACCACGGAGGGGCCAATTGAAACCTCCTGAGCTTGGTAACCCGCCGTTATCAGTACTGAATATAACAAGTGTGTCATCCCATAACCTGTAAGACGCAAGATTCTCTTTAGCTGGAAAATATTGTTAAGTCATTTAGGTGTTTAAAACTGATTTTCGGCACAAAACCTTTAGAAAATATGTCTTTAATGTTTCAAAGCTGTAAGTTTGCATAATTTTGCTCAAGGAAATCTGAACATAAGTAACTGCAAGTATTTTAAGCAGACCATCAAGGCAGGTGGAGGGAAGTGGACTCCTGAATCCCATACCTCCTGTACTCACGGCTCCAGGTTAACGCAACTTGTCTGGCCTTTTCCTTGCAGTAACTGGCTTCCTTAGCATTTTTTGATCGTTATTACATTGCTTCGTAGTTTCCCTTTATTTCTCCCGCTTTCTGCCCTTTACGAACTCTTATCCCCAAGTGAACCAAGTTATGATCCAGTTACAGGGAAACTCCACCAGTTATCATGGAAGCCCCTACCACATTTTAAAGAACCTTTTAATTGTGTAATCCTTGCCTTGAACGTGACAATGAACGCCTCAACATACCCTGCTGTCTTGAAAGTCTCGGTGATATTACCTACAGCCTCATCCAGGATGGCTACCATGCCAGCATAAGTTCTTCTGAGATCATTCTTGATAAATTTATATTTATCAATGTATTGTTGAGGCGCTTGAACAGGATCATGAACGTTCTGAAAGGCCATGTATAAGAACAAAGGCTGAGCTGGGTCATGTGATTTAACAATTGTCTCCATCCTCTGTAAAGAAAGTGAATAGTACGTCAGCCTTCAACATCCGAAATAGAACTTGGAGGGTCGTGAGTTCGATGTTCACCTGGAGCTCGGTCTCAGTTTTTTTTGAGCTTTCTGGTACCAGAATTCTCCTTCTTCCAAATTATATTGCCGTGATTACCTATTGAACAACCCGCCGCAAATTTGTCTCGTTTAGGCAAGGATCTTCCTAGCGAAAACAGTTTTACGGTGCTTCAACAACAACAACAATTCATTGTACCAATAGTAAAAACAGAATTAGAATAAGGTTATAACAAGCTAATAATAATTTGTGGTACTGGCTGTCTGGAATAACCACGGGGCTAAAAAGACCAGACAGCCATTTTGTTTACAATGAAATAAAATTATCTGAAGTCGGTACAGGACGAGACGATTACATAAAATAAGTGTCAGACTTCTGTAAAGGATCAATCGCTTTCTTGAGCTTTTCAACTAATACTGCTTCTAGCTGTTCAATGGTGAAAGTAGACATAACGAAGGAGTACAACACAACCAAAGTCAAAATAACAAATTAACGAAGAACTATTATAGGCGATAGGTGGAATAAAATTGAGACCTAATATTTTACGAAAATTGACCCCTGAGGAGCACAAAATATAGCGGCCATCTTACACGCCGACCACTGACCGTGCTTGGATCTTCCTCGTGCTAAGATCTTCCTTTCTCTCAGCTAGGAAGACCCTAACGCCAGGGACAAGTACAACCCTTTGGATGTAAGCTTAATATAGAAAACATATGGCACTAGGATGATCCGCGTTCTACGAGACTCCTGTTGCAGAGATGCCAACCTTTGGAAATCTAAAATCTGGAGACTCTTTCTTTTGCATTACCCCCCCGAATATCAACGATCAACCCACCTGACCCCTCCTCCCCTCATGATAAGCACAATGGATTCATCCTCAACGGGCCTAGAAACATTATATGAAGTCTACATGAGTACAGACCAACACAATTAGCTTTTAGCAATACGTAACTGAAACTGAAGTATGTATCAACACCTTTTGTCAGTGATGAACATGCGAAACACCAGAAATGAACTTGAATCAGCCAAAATTCGAATTTTGGGAGAAAATGTTGGGAGAAAATGGGATAAATTCCAAATTAAAGCGCAGAAAAGCTCATAACTCGATTTTATCCGGGAGATTTGGTGACCTATACGAGAGACCGGGAGATTTTTGTCGTATCCGGGAGAGTTGGCATGTATGCTGTTTATAGGATGTAAACAGCCCATCGTCAGATATCTCGGCGTTATATCAAAATCATACCTTCATGTAGGCATACGTTGCGTATGTTCCTGTCCAGTTTCTCGCAGGCTGTTCTCCATCGCGAAAATCTAAAAATCCTAACACTGAGTGAGTGTAATGATCTTCCGAACCATCCCAGAAACCAAAAGAGGAATCAAAACCTCTTCTGGTGGGAACATAAGGCCATTTGTAGAAACCAAGATGCCACTTGCCTACCAAGTGAGTTGCGTAACCTGTGTAAAAGAAACAATTGCATGTTACTGATAGTGGACTACAACTGAGTGCAGAGGATGAGGATGTTACTAAAACTGGGAACTAGGAAGCGGTGAACAGGCCTGAGGAACGGGAAAAATGAAAAATTTTTCCTTCTCCCTGTTTAAGTAACATCCCTAAGGATGATGGCACAAAGGGGGCAAAATTCACGTGCAAAATTCATGCGTGTTGTCAAAAGAGAAAAAACAAAAAAGGCAAGCCAGAGAGCTAATTAATGGAGCCGTTCAAGAGGGAAAGTTAACGAAAGAGTGAAAAATAGTTTGTCTCTGGACGGTTTAAAAAAGAAAAGGAATTTCGACTACTTTTAGCAGCTTTTAGACGTTGATTTACGTGGTCCCTCTTCGCCGTGCCGCGAGAATTTTATTTACCAAGCGGGCCAATAGGGCCAATAGGGCCTGATCCCAGGTTAGAAAATAAGGTTATACGTAAGTCTGACTCGGGAGGAAATAAGAATTGCAGACATCAGATCTCGAACGTTTCCGATATTTTTTAAAATTCAAGTTTCGACTCTGGTTAAGTTGTTTAATAGGTTCTTTTATCTGGGGCAGTTGGAACTACATTTTTTTCATGAAAAGTTTCCTAGTCGACTTTTTGTGTCCTTGTTCAAGCAGCAAGCACCCTTTTTTTAAACAAGGACAGATCAGCGCAAGAAAAATTTGTCAAGTTTTCTAATTGACTTGGTGCAGACAATTTGTCAACGGGAATCTTGCTCCTGGTTTGTTATACTGAATCAGTTCAAAAAATATAAATACCCATTCCATATATGGTAACATTTTTCAAGAGTCAAGCTTAACGCTATGTTCATAGTATCCCGGATACACTAGGGCTTCTGTTTACACATAAGAACGGTGATTTTGGCGCGATTTCTGTTTCGGAGAGAAGCTGCGACGTGCCGATCACGAAAGTGGTGCGTCACATATGAGATCTCTCTGAGGTTCTGTGCCACGCTTGAGTGTAGCGTGAACAGGTATTTGGACAGTAGCGGAAGTGCATAAGTAGGAGTAAGGACTGGAATCCACTGAGAAGGAAGTAAATATTCAGCAGTGAGGACTGGGATTCATTTCACCAAACCCTCTCGGCCAACCTTTCCAGCAGGATGTTGGATGCCTATGTGTGAACGACTTGCTCCAGTTCTGTGCCGTTGCTGTTCATACTCATGATACCGCCCGCTTACCGGATAGCTTTTTGTGTTGGCACGAAAGCTATATAAACATAGCCTAATGCTCTTATCATTATGAGGGCGATGGATCATCGGTATATGGACATTTAGTAGTAGTAGTGAACTTTATTAACGTGTCAGGAATCTCTAGCGCATATTAGCACTTGTGAATTGGTGACACATCAAGAGAACATAATCATTCTCGAGTTTCAGCGAGATCCACCTACCAACTTTCTTCAGTTCTTGTGGTAGAATACTGTATTCTAAAGGCAATCCAAACGGGTTATCAGGGTGTATAACGTCATGCTGAAGACCTTGAGAAAGAAAAACAGTAAATAGAACTCAAATCCCCGATACAGTAACTGCCTTTAAACAATTTTTCATGGCAGTATATATGAAGTTCTACAGAAGCTTGTGCAAATGAACCCAGCTGTACAGTCTAACCTCTCCTTACGGACATCTCTATAATACGGACATTTCTCTTCAACGGACAGTTCGTTTGGTCCCAGAAATGCCAAAAATCGTACTGTACATTTCCCACCTCTATAATACGGACACCTCTGTAAAGCGGACACTTGGTTCTGTCCCTTTGGTGTCCGTATTAAAGAGGTTTGACTGTAATTAAATCGATCATAGAGAACCCATTTTTTAAGGGAAAAGCGCAGTGGGGACGAGGTTGGTCATGATCGCATGCTACCCCTAGGCGAATCTAATTTTATCATCATGTACGCATCCGACATATCATCTTACTTACCTTTCACCCACTGTCACGCAAAGCGTCAAGTCAGGGAGTAAATAGAGGACTAATGACACAATTTCCTACTTACATATTTTCTAGTATAAAATACCTGTGTGTATAGGATATCTTCCGGTCATCAAAGCAGATCTTGTTGGGGTACAAAGTGGTTGAACATAGTAATTATCCAAGATTACTCCTTCATTTGCTAGCTTATCAATGTTTGGAGTTTTGATTACAGATCCATGAAAACCAACATCACTCCAGCCAAGATCATCGGCAACAATAAAGAGAATGTGAGGACGCTTGGAAGTCTTTGGATCATGTGACGAAGCAGCGTTTGGAAACAATGCGACAAAAAGTAATAGCGCTGAGTGAATCTCCATTCTCCTCTACAAGTCGCAAAGGCATATTATCACATGACATGAGTTTGGCTAATGTCATGGCACTTTGACAGGGGGCATTGTCACGCTGATATACAGTGAAAGCTCTCCTAACGCTCTACGTACGGACACCTTCAAAACCCCGGCTTTCTTAACTCCCATGCAAACTCTGTACTTTTTTTCCCATAAGCGGCCAGCTCCAGTTGCGGACCCTTGATTTTTTCACATCCCGAGGATGTCCTCGCACGAGAGCTTCCTCCGTATATGAAAAAAGAATCCCGTGTGGTCAGTTTTATCGCCTTGCAGCCGGAGTACTCTTCCCAAAGCGATCAATCCAGCTTTGCATTTTGAACTTTTAGAGGTTAAATGTAAACTCAGAAAAGTCCAAGTGAATTTCCCTAAACGAGGGTATATAAAGTCATAGGCTGTCTGTGAGTCTGACTAAAAATGAACGAAAAAAATGCAGGAGGGCGCAAAATAAACCGCTAGATGGATGATAGCTACTTTTTGAGGTGAGTGTCTGCAAGAAAAAACATCTCTCAGTTATATCCTGAAACGGCGACGAGATGTACGCAAAAGTTTTGAAGAAAGTCTACGAGGAGGTGTGCTTGGTAAGTAGTTAGGAAAATTTTGAATGAATAATGAAATAATTATTGAATTCGGCTCCCGTATGATGTGAGGATGATTCCCCTCGATCAGCATAATTCTTCTCATCATACTCAGCCTCGTTCAATAATTGTTAAATATTCACAGTTTATCTTAGAATAAGCTGAGGCAAAACTTTATGGCTTGTCCTCGCCTTGTTCTCAAGTATTCCGGCCCTTAATGAATTTTCCACCGTTTAGAGTTAACCAAATTCAGGAAAACTGACCATGTACTTTACAATGTTTTCGGACTACCCATGAATACGGGTGCTGTCTTTTTGACGCACTGCGAAGCAGATACACTAGCCAATTGCATGCAAATCGGAAAACCAACATAGAAAAAAAATTGATATGATAGTGTATAAAAGAAGAGAAAATCTGTAATTAAACAAGGAAAGAAAACGATAAGAAAAGAGCCAGAGAGTGATAAAGATCTTATAAACCAATGACAAAAGGGACACATACTCGTAAAGAAAGTCTTATTTTATGACGGGCTTCCTAAAGGAGACACTCCCGTCTCCTATGAGCCCCCTTGTTTTTTATTTTTGCTATATTACTTTCAACCGCCTCTTTAATACGCACACTAGGAGTTCGAGTGTTCTGATAGCTTTACAGGCCGTCATATTCAGTGCAGCGTGACACAAAGCCGCCTTTAAATTCAAAAGTGCTCTAACAAACAAAAATTGTCACCATACATTTTTTGACAATTCCAATTTTGTCTGCTAGTGCGGACAGGCCCATCCATAAAACAAATTTAACTGCCACGTCCAACTAAAAACTGCTAAAATGATGGTGGTCAGACGCTGTTACATGAAACTAAAGTATCAGAAGGATTGACTTTGATTACGGTCCCATCAAGTCTGGGTCACACGCAAACAAAGAATCAAGAATTTTTTCCCAAGAAAAAGTTAAACCCAAAACGTTGTAACTAAAGATACACTGAAAAATCTTAATTCTTTGCCGATAACAAAGAAAGCCTTATATCAAAATAATTTTCTGAGAACGAAAGCCACCATCGTTCACGTACAAAAAATATTAGCGTTAAGAACAACCAAATGGACTATAGTTAAAAAGTGTTCCTGGTAAATAACGAGCCAAAGAAGTTAAGAATAAAAGGAAAATTGGTTCACAGACGTGCTCCTGATTTTATATATATGTTTTTCTATCCCCAGAAAAAAAATCATATCGTTATGTTCAGTAATAGGAAAGCTGGGCCATTTAGCTTAAGAATCGATGGGAACGGTATACTAATAAATTAAAACAACATATATACAGGTGTGCCTCAACAGATACTAGAAATCTAGAAATACCGTTCCACTTACCCGAAGAGCTATAAGAGCTGCCAAAGGCCTATGACTCCTTAAATTGGCTGCCGTTTTCCCACCTATATTTATAGGAACTGAGATCGACGATAATATCATTACCAACAAATCAAAATACACCGCATTTATGAATAAAATAGCACCTATAAAAAATATAAATGAATAACGGCTAACAGAATCTAATTTAAGGTATAAGAGTATGCAGATAGCCATCCAATTGTCGTTAAAAATTTCTTTTGCTTTCATAATCGGGAAAACATAAAAAAGATGAAATTAAGGTGGCTCTATATATGGGCCAATAAAATAATAATAATAAAAAATTCCAAAGAACCGCGTTAACTTCCAGTTATAACGGATTTATTACTAACAAACTAATCTAATCTACCAAGTTGAAGGAATTTGCTAAGAAACGCCCTGTCTTCAAAAAAAATGTTAACTGGAAAACGCAAAGCCCTAATTAACATATCTGATGCTTAAACCAATTATTGTCGAAAATTCTTACAACGAGCTGATCTTTCATTTTCATAATGGGAAAAGTCTAAAAAAGATGACTTGCGTTATGATTATTTGATTACCAACAACTCTGATAAAATGGGACAGAAAGTTGTCTATCTTGTATTGTTTGTCTTTAAAATGAGTTTCCTATTATATTATAGCGAGGACATTTCTCGTCAGAAGACAAGACGGCAAAACATACAAGTCTACCTGGAGTTATGAAAAGCGGTTTAGCAAACATTTCCTAATTTTTCTCAACCTCCCCTGTCTGATAGCTTGTTTACTGTGTTGTTTGCTTATGCCGTATTTTGTTTGCTTGTTTTGTGGTTAGGGATTTGTGTACAAGTTGATGTAGACAGAATTTCTATCTTCCCCCGTCCGTCCCCCCCCCGCACAATTTTTTTTTTTCATTGCCACCCACAATTCACTCTTTAGCACAAGTGACAGTTATTTGAAATCAGTGCACGACTAAAGGTGGTTTTGATGCCGTTTAGCAGTTTACTTTTATATTGGTCACCTTGAGAAACGTTTTCCGGAGAGCATCATGTAAAGCTCTGAGATGGGACAAAGTTATTACTATTCGCAGAGTCTGCATCGTCCAATATCGTATCATATTCTCGTTTCGTTTGGCTAAACGGATCAATAACCCTGATCCCGGCTGAGACAGAAAGGCACGATAGTGTTTGCTGTTTGGTTTTCTAAGGTGACCACTAAGTCTTTGGCCTCGGGAACAGGCTGTTAGGTCAAATGAATAAGGTGAGAGAAAAATTGCAGGTGAACTTTGACCCCGGCCAAGACTAGGTTTTTTTTCTGGTCTGAAAACAGGGTTTACAACTTTATTTGCCCAATACTTCGACTAGACAAAACTAGTCTTCATCAAGGGCTAGAAAAGCTAAGTGAGAAAAGAATAAACGGTTAGGGTATAAAATAATACAGTAACTGAATAATAATAAAAACCAAAAAAAAAAAAACACAATAAAAAAATTTGAAAAATAATAAAAACTTGTACAGACAGACAAACAAGAAGACTTCATATCTTTAAGATTTTTGAATTTATTTGGTGTCAGATAACTGGCACTCAGTATCATACTAGTATATTCCGACCAAATGACCTCTGAAGCCCGAATCCACACATAGTACGCTTGGGCTGCCTGTGGGGTGTAAACAAGGAAAAATCACCGTTCACTAAATTCTTCAGGGGTAAAACCATATTCTTCGGGGGTAGACCCATATGTTATGAGAGTCTTCAGGGTGAATGCAATTTTATGGAATTCTTCAAGGGCGAAGAATGTGCAATAGCCCAATAAGATAGACTCTGCCTCTCCCCCATCGTTTTCTTGTTTAACCTTGGTTCAACTGTTCGCCTAACTGTTTTCTTGCTTAACGAAACAAAAAAGGAAACCAAGAAAAGAAAACCGCCTGGTAAGTAAGCTATCATCAGGGGCACCCAACGAGAATATAGTTCAAAACCACTAAGACATAGCATTGTTGAACGTATTTTAGTATTTAAACGGTAGATATAAATTAGGCATATTTCTATTATCCCCTAAAAATTTTTCATCTGTTCGGATTTCCTAGCTGAAAGTCTAGTGATCCGAAAATTATAGGGATCAAAACTTACCTTTTCGAAAATTTCAGCTAGAAAAAAGGCTCCCGAAAATTCTAGGTGACCTTTTTAGGGTAAAAATCCGTTAAAAATGGGCAATTGTACCATTTCTGGGGGGTTTGAAAATCCTAGGAGAGGCAGGCAAGCAAGAAATTTAACAACACTTGTTCCGAAAATTCTAAATGTCAAATCTTCTTCCGAACAGACATTTTCCAAATATTGTCGATGGGTGCCCCTGTATCATACCGTCCTTCGTTGCTGGCTCTGTTTGACCTTTGGTGCATGAGAAAATTTTCTTAAAATATCTATCAAGCGTTGCGTGACAGATGTTTAGACGGCAAACGCAACAAAGCTGTACACGCGGATAACAATTTTGGGTCGTATTTGTATTTTGCATTGAAATGATTCTACGCATGCAAAATATGTTTTTGATTTCTGTCATCTTTCTTTTCGCTATCAACTCAGTGATGGCTAAGAAAACGTATGCAGCCTCAAAATCGTCTCCACCGCATATTTTGTTCATGCTAGCAGATGATCTCGGCTGGATCGATGTAGGATTTCACGGATCAAAAATACACACTCCAAACATCGATTCCCTCGCTAAAGATGGAGTTATCCTGGACAATTATTATGTCCAACCAGTTTGCACACCAGCAAGAGGATCTCTTATGACTGGAAGATATCCGATACACACAGGTAGGGAAAATACGATTCACAAGACATGGCCGGTAATCCCGGTACTTTGCGATATAAATTTTCATCTTATTTTCAGAAGACAAATGGGGCCAAACAGGGTCATACATCCGGTTACAGAAAGGGAAACGAAAATCAATCTTGGGTGCGTTTGCCGAATAAATGATTGCTGCCATCACGATTTTCATATCAAAAATTAACATCAAGCTTGTTGATCTGTACTCGTTTCAGTCGTTTGCTGCTGATTCGGCCTGCACCTGAAACGAGAATGTGTGGCGATGGAAATCAAATGCTATGTTGGAGACAGAACGATCAAAGGATAGGTATCTTTAATAGCAGATCTTCTCAATAAGGGTATTTTCATTTCGGTAAAGAGACTGGCAGTATACAAAGACCTGTCTAATATTAAAACAGCAAAAATAACATAACATTGACGGACATAAGGCAGTGTTTTCAACTGAATACAGAAAACGTTCCATCTTCTTCGTATCTTCTTTATCTGCGATGTAAATTTTTACGTGCCGTGGAAAACCCTTTTTAATACCATACCAACGTCTAATTTTGGGATATTTTATTGACTTTTAATGAATTTTGGATGTTTACATTGACCAGAAAAACAAACTAATTTACACTTCAATGCCGTGAGCTTATGACGTGATCCATTGTAGTCAACTTGGGAGCGTTATTTGGAAATAAATTTCGCTGAATATAGTTGCGAGGATGAAGCCGGATGATGAAGTTCTAATTTCAGGTCATTTCATAGTACTCTTCTCCATAACGGTCCATAACGTGCTGTGCCTGTAAAGGCTGGGAGCATGGAAAGGCAAGCGAAAGGAGGACATCATGTGTTATCCACATGTATTATTTTTTTGGAGAGCGCATTGTTTTTCTTTTCCAAGAAAAAAAAGTCACGTCCGCACATCCGAACGTATCGTTTTCGCCCGTCCATTGCCTAGTCCCTATGCCTCATTATTGTGCGTGACCGATGCTTTTCGGGTCACGTGGTCCGAGAAAGCTTTTGGCTGTCTCCCGGCCGTTCATCTCGGATACGTCACCGGAATGCATTGACCGAGAAGGCCTGGAAAGACGCCGTACGGGGACCAGCCAAGCCCGTCTACACGCAACCGTTTTTGACTCGCGATCGCCAAGCACTGAATTTTACGTAATCGATCTCACTCGGAATTTGTTTTGCTCTCCCCTCCCTTTTTGGGAGCTTTTGGGCCATCCACCGTCTATCTTTAACCCATCTTCTTCGAAGCTGTCCCTGGGTCATTTCTTGGACACTAACTCTGTGATTTATAATAAGTTATCATCGTTTAATTCGTTCTTTCTATTTAAGCAGTTGTGGTGACAACAATGACAAGCGGATGCCTTTTACATGCAGCACAAAACTCAATATGCCATTTCCGAATTGCCCTTAAGTCTCTGTTTCAAAGCGAGGCTAATAGCCTACGAACCGCAGACGTATTTCCGGTCGTCGCCTCTCTCCTTCCGAAAAATAACGACAGTTTTTCTCGGCGAGTGAGACTAGCAGCTAAAACCGAAAATACCGGATGCTCTTGTAGGCTACATGGCTAAGTGCAAGGCCATTGATATGAATCTCATGCAAATAAAACTCATTTTCACAAGAGTTTTAAAGTGGGAGTCTTTGGAACTCGGAAATGGCTTAAAGTCCCTAAAAGATTTTGCCCCATAGTCAACAAGTAAATCAGCCAGAACAACATACCGTAAATCCTCTGTTAAGCCCCCCCTCTCTAATAAGCCCCCCCTTTTCAGAGGAGGAAAGTTAATAAGCCCCCCCTCCCCCTCCCCCAATCCTTATTCTCCACAAAAAAATTAACGATTAACGTGGACTGATCAGTTATGATTTATTCATAAAAATTGCCGAAGAACATGAGGCCGAAAGCACATTTTTGAAGAATAAGAATTTTGTTTTTGTTACTTTTAGGCTCCCACAAGTGAATTAAATACTTTTGACAGTGACTTTAATTGTACAACGTGTAAGTTTGCTCTGTCTCATACCACGGTATTTTTGCTACAGGTGATGCGTTTCGCTAAATTAAATAAGCCCCCCTCCTCTTTTAAGCCCCCCCTCAAAAGTGCTTGAAAAAAAATAACCGCCCGGGGAGCTTAATAGAGGATTTACGGTATACGTATTTACCTATATATATATGTTGATGTTTTGGCCGTTTTTGCGTGAAGTGACAGAAAGTAACCTGGTTCGCTGTTCAAGGTAATTAAAATATCTTATTTTTTACAACAGACGTGAGTTGACATTATCTTTCTTTTCACATTTACCAGGTCTTCAGCATGGAGTCATTCATCCATCAGATCCATTTGGATTGCCGTTAGACTTTGAGACTCTTCCAGGACAGTTAAGAGAAGTTGGTAAGCGACCGAAAAGTAACTCTCACGTAACACTCTGTTGCTTCATATACCAGCTTAACGACCTTAACCCCTGCCACTGTCTTCAGAAATGAACGTCTTTATAATTTTCTGAATACACAGACCGGCTTGTACAGTCAGAAAACGTTGTCAATGAGGAGCATGAGCGGAAGAATTGAAATTGACACGGCACGCCAACAATTCACTGGGATCATGAGAATCCTCCCTCGATAGCCTGCGTAGCAATGGTTTCCAATCGAGTTATTGCGTGAAAGTTGGAGCGAGGGCAAAAGAAATGGCTCTTTTTTGCTTTCGTCCCAATTTTCTCGACGAAATCGCGCGGAAACGCTTGCTACGCAACTCAAGCTACTATTAGTGGCATGCACTATAGCCTTTCAAATCAGAACAAGAATTTGTTTTAATACCTCATTTAGAACATGTTTGTCTCATCTGTCAGCGTTAACAAATATATGAATGTCTCAAGGCTCGTTGATCAGCGGTTCATACATTTTGTGACTGTTTCAAAATACAGACCGTAGAGCTAGCTATCTTTTAATTTTTCGCCGATGATCAGCGGCGAGGTACTCAGTCCTTTCTGTAAATGAACTTCACGTTTTGGGAATGGCGAGCGGCTGGTTATACGTAGTTCTATCTGTACAAAGGAGATTGAACTTCCAAAGTCGCCGATGACCAGTGGTGAGGTAATTCTGTGCCTGTATAAAGAGGTACTCCAAAATTCCCCGATGATCAATTGCGTGGTATTTCTGTCTAAGACTCATTCTTCCTCAGGTTATGCGACTCACTTGGTTGGAAAGTGGCATCTTGGTTTCTACAAATGGCCTTATGTTCCTACGAAAAGAGGTTTTGACACCGCCTACGGATTCTGGGACGGAGCTGAGGATCATTATGGCCATACGCGCGATGGCGTGGTCGATTTCCGCAACGGAACAAAACCAGTCACAGATCTAGGTGGAAAATATGCCACATATGAATATGTTAAGGTCAGTAACATTTTTTTGAAGCTTTTCTGATGAACCAATACATGGGATTTAAAGTAACTGATAACTGAAGATATGACTGCAAACGGCTAGACCTTCGCGTGGCTTGGATGACCACGTACAATGGCGGTCCCGTCAACGTAAAAAATTTTGTCCTGAATAAACAAATTAGTGCTCAAATATATTCACACTCAAATAAAGTGCTTTGTTGTTGTTGTTGTTGTTGTTGTTGCTGTTCTTTCTTCTTCTTCTTCTTCTTCTTCTTCTTCTTCTTCTCAGTCTTCTCTTTCTCCTTCAAGAATGAGATCATAACAGACCGCAATGTCTGGCGGTTACATGCAGGCGTAGTGCTCGTTTTTATAGGTCCAGCCGGTACGTGAGCTTAGTTCTAAATAGAGCTAATATATAGATTTAGCCAGGGCTAACAGCGAAGCTCCAATTTTAATAAATTTATAATTTAAATCAAACAATAAACTTTTAATCCACAAATCATTTAACTTACGGGCACATTCATGTGACCTTTGAGGGAAAGGCTAAGTTATTTTAGAGTGAAACATCTTACATCGAATTGATAACCTTATATGTACACCCAAAAAATAGCAAACATCTTCGATCACATTCAAGATCACAGTAGATTAGGCCTCGAAAACAAATTCTTGGAAAACAAATCACGCCAAATTTTTTGCGTTCGACAGGTTTACTTTTTACAAATTCTTGCCAACAAATCTGGGGGTGTTTAAACCAACCTTTTATAATTTTTATACACCACATTTGAGGTGAAACAGTACTATTTATCATACAGAGCTCGGACAGAATGCGGTATTTCACAATTTTTCAAGACAAATTGCACTCAGCCAATATTCAGGACGAGCCAAACCGTTCAAAAATTTCAGAAAATTTCCAAAATCACCCATACGGCCAGCTGGTTCTCGTTTCTATAGTGCAAGCTGTCAGTGTGGTCGAGTGTTTGAATGAACTTTAACAGAGTTACGCTTCAACATAATAGCGAATTTATTAATTTAATGGTTTCAGTTATAACGATGTGTAATCTTATAAAGCGTTCGATACGCGCGACATTTTTTAGTATTCCTGCAAGCGATGGTCATGAACGATGAAAACAAACGGCGCGGACAAGCGATTAAAATTGCAAGAGAGACTATATACTAACAATCAAAAAAAGAGATATAATTCCGTGAAACATTTACAGAGACAACAATTTTCATTCACGAAGACAAGTATTAAAGTTTCTCTAAAAATCCTGAGTCTTTAAGCGTAAAGCTTAAGTTTATGTTTTAGCCGGCTTCCCGGCGCGGTGTTTACTGTTTTTGAAGGTGAACTCCTCGAAGCAAGAAAATCGCTCAAAGTTTTCTTTCTACAAAAAACAGTCATATTTAAGACTACGTTCACCCGGACGATCATGCTTCACCTACTGAAATGACTCCCAGGTTCAAACCTTTCAGAGTTGTAACACATTTTTCCTGTTTGGTTTATCAGAGAGTAAAAGAGATAATTCATGCCCATGACCCAAAGCAGCCACTCTTCCTTTACATGGCATTTCAGAATGTGCACAATCCCATTCAAGCTCCGGAAAAATACGTGGAAAAATACGACTTTATTGACCAGAAGATGAGAAGAGTCCATGCCGGTATGGCCGATATACTGGACGAAGCTGTAGGCAACATTACCAAAATGTTCAAAGAAAAAGGGTACGTTCCTAGTACAGCCTGAAGACAGGAAACAACAGCCTTTAGATGACAAGGGTAGAGATTTAATTTTACTGTGACTTCCATTTTTTCTGTCGGCCGCCAGGCCAGTTTTGTCCATATACTTCACCCGTGATACTTTAAACCTTCCAGTTGAAGTTGACACTTTTATGACTAGTTCTTAGAAATACAGTTATTTATTTGGTTTAAGTAGTTCTCATAGCTCCGTCTCAAAGAATCATTGCGATTCCTGGAAAATAAGCCCAAAATGGTTTCTCGAATAAATTTGTTGTCTGGTATAAAGAAACTCAATCGCGATTGCTTGAAATGCCGGTCCGTTTTAAATTGCTTGGAACCATTCTCTCTTGTTTAAACTCCTTGCATCAATCGGCATCTCTCTCGCGCGCAAAGCTAATTGTAACCGTGTTTGCTATTTCAGGCTTTGGAACAACACTTTGACAGTGTTCAGTACTGATAATGGCGGAGAACCAGTTTACGGCGGATACAACTGGCCTTTAAGAGGGACAAAACACACCTTGTGGGAGGGAGGGGTGAGAGGGGCTGCATTTGTCCATGGAAAAATGCTGGAAAAAACGGGCGTGAAATGCAAAGGACTTCTTCATATCAGCGACTTTTTTCCGACACTTATTAATTTGGCAGGTATGTTAAACATAGCGTGTAACGTGCACACAAACAAAAACAAATACGCAGGCTCTTGTCGCTTGGATGCCAGTCATCCTAATTTCGTCATCTCGTTCCCAGAGTCCGCGTTGCTTTGTCCAGCGGACGCTGGACAAGGGTAACGCGAACTCTGGGAACGAGATTGCAGTCATCCATTTTAGTTGATACTGCAAGAGTTTAATTACTGTAAAGAACTGAATTTTTGTTTTAAGTTTTGACATTTCTTTCTCTTGTCAACATAAATTTTCAAAGCGTAGTTACTTTGAGTGACACCCGCAGTGCCTACAGAGTTAACAAACGAAACCATTCTTTGTTATTTACGGATTTTTATCGACCTCTTTTGATATTTTAACATTTCTCCTTGCAATGGGCAAACTGAACGCAGGGGCATCCCACGACGGTTTCCTCCAAAATACGTTGAAAATACTTTTAATTTTAGGCTACCCAAAGTACTTTAGATCTCTAGAAATGCATTCTAAGCGGCGCTACAAATTTTTTATCTGTTCGGTCATCCTAGGGGAACTTAAGTCTTTTCGAAAATACGAGGGCGTTAGTATCATTTTACAAAAAATTTTAGGTGCAATTTAGCGTTCTACGAAAGTGAGGATTTTTTTGATTCCTCTGTCCATCACATTTTAGAAACCGAAAATTTTAGGTTTCCTTTTTCTACGAAAAATAGTGTAACCTGGCTAGTAAACTATGAAAAATTAAACTTCAGAAAATCGTAGGGAATTTATTGGATAAACTTCGAAAATTGTACATGCATGGAACGTTCATCTACAAATTTTTAACCGTCCTCAAGTAAAAGAAAATTCTAGGCAACATTTCCATCTCCGAACCGGATATTTAAAGAAAACAGTCGGTGGGTGCCCCTGGGAATGTCTCAGAAGCAATAATTATAGTAGTGTCAGTATAGAGGAAAATTTTTTGCGAGCCTCAATTTTTATAGCCATATTCGTTGTATCGCGCTGCGTGTAAGAACGAAGCAATGTCTGCCTGCTGCCCTCAACAAAAATTCTACTCTTCATCGCGATTTCCTTCGCTATTCTTGAGCAGTTTAGGGTCATTCTCGATTTTGTTTTTGCGGACCAAACTGGACGAGTGCGTTGCATTGTGATTTGCATTAACTCCACCCCCAATCAAATGATTGACGGAACAGAACAACCCATTCGAAGTTTTCAAACACGCAGCGCGATACAACGAATTTGGCTATAACAAACTTCGCCATTGCGTGCCTTGTTTTAACCTATTTTTTACGTTGTGACTAGTATGCAAGTATTGTTTGAAATCTTTTATTAGGAGGCTCATATGATCCACATAAGCCAATCCCTATGGACGGTTTTGATGTGTGGAACACCATATCACGTGGCGATGCTTCTCCACGCACTGAAATCCTGCTTAACATTGATAACCTACTTCCCAATGGTTCCAGACTGGGGAATTTTCAAGGAATGGCCCTTCGAATGGGAAGCATGAAACTCTTAATGAATGTCCCAAATATCACCTGGTTTAAACCCCCTGAGTTGGGAGGTACATTCCCGGAACAAGTAATTACCAGTGGCGTTCTTAGAGAAGAGACAGATGAGCATATTTTAAAGGAACTTCAGCAAAGTTACATTGTAAGTCCCAAGTAGTCTTTAATTTGTACGAAATCTCATCATTGTTCAGTGGGTTAGCATGTTATATTCACTGAGATGAAGAGACTCCTTCAAGAATAAATGTTGATACATCAAAGCAGGCCTTAAGGAAATCTTTGCTAACGTCATTTGTTTAAATTTTTCCTAAAAAAAGTTTACGACTTAACTCAGTGAATTTTGGCCGTATATACGAACTAAATGCAAAAGTTGAAAGAGCATCTTGATTAATTGGACAATTTTTGCAATTTTGCTCTTTGTTCTGAGCAATATTGAGGGAAATATCAGCAATCAAAAACTGCGAAAACTGTTGGCAAAAAAGTTAATGAGCCATACATTCTCTGTAAAATTTCGAGTTTTCAGAAAGAGGCGAATCCGAAACCATTCCGTGTTTTGGGCTCAAATTTTCAAAATATTTTGAAACTGTTATGCTCTTTCAATATTCAGAGTTTTTATTTTATTACCGTCATCAGATAGTGATAAGCATATGTTAATGAGGTAAAAAGTGTAAACAAAGATTCGCCTATAGGCTGTTGTTCTCGTTAGGGGTAGGTGGTGTTGCTAAGCAAAAAGAATTGCATCAATGGCGGAGGTTCGTGAAACTTTTGTCCCCTAGCCTGAGTAGCTAGCGGAATTGTTTTGCGCGCGCGAGAGTTTTTGCGGCGAAGCCGCGAGCGCCTCAGTCAGGTCCAAGAAAATCCCTCCTATTTCTCCGCGCGGCTCCGCAGCTCCTCTGCCAAAACTTTGCTCGCACTCATATTCCCGCAGGCTACGCAGGCTATTTGTCCCCAGGCAAAGTTATATACCTTGCAAGTCCTGATTACAAGCAGAAGAGGTTTTCGTAAGAAGCGATTACTAGAAAAGTCCTTTCTCAAACACGTTATGTTACGATCCATGCTATACTAAGAGGTCATTATACTATACCTCATAATACCTTTCAAACTTGAAACAGCTACTAAAACCGCCATATTAACAACTGTCGTTGCTTTCCGGACAGGCTCCCGCTTCACTTGCCCCACCGACCACCGTTAATATCAGGGAGCTCAGGCAATCACGCCGACGACGACATGAAAACTGAAACAATTTTTTTTATATTGTTTTAAGAGCAAAACAGCTCTACCCGTGCATCACGCTTTTTAGTACATACCCTTGACATCCACTGCACGTCTACGACGTGGAACCTCCGGAATGCGACGTTTTATGGAGGACGGGAGCATACCACGACGAATTTTCCTCTCTCTTTTTGAACCTGGACAAAGTCCTTAAGAATCAAACTCCAGGAGTAATCGCCTTCATTTGACAAATTGAAAGCGTCCAAATAGACGCGATAAAATTTGAAAGGACGCAAATTCATTTTCTTGGCGACGTTTCAATGCCTTCGCCGTCATCCTATTTTAATATTCATTCAATATATTAATTCTTCATAACCAACGGGTGCTTACCATATTTGGAAGATGCGAACAATATACCATCGATTCGATGATATATTTGATTGGAAACGAGGATGATCGATGGTATATTTGATTGGAAACGAGGATGATCGATGGTATATTTGATTGGAAACGAGGCTGCTTGGGCAAAGGTGGACTAAAAAGTGGCCTTTACAGCTATTCGAAGACGAAATAGCTGAACTTCTGTTTTAAACTGAATGGAAGAAATTCAAGAATGCGCAAAACATATTGCTCGATGGATTTTAATATCTTCTTTTTGAGAAGTATCTGCAAGAAAAAACGTCTGTTTATATCCTGAAACCGTGCCGAGAAATAGGCCATAGTTTTGAAAAAAGACTGCAAGGAGGTAAGCATGTTAAGAACTGACAAATATTTTGAATTAATAACAACTGTCGTACGATGTGAAGAATTATGCAGATCACGGAGGATGTTATCCACCGCTGAAGGCCCGCGGTGGATAACATCCTCCTCGAACTGCATAATTCTTCACCTCCTACTCAGCCTCATTCAATAATTTGTTAACTAAAGCACGATCATTGTTCTTCAACCACATAGGATAGTGCTGACGTTTTGGATGTAGTGCTTTACAACATCACCGCTGACCCAGAGGAAAGACATGACCTCAGCGGCGAACTCCCGGATGTTGTGGAGAAGATGAAAGAAAGACTGAAGTATTACGAGAAGACTTCGGTCCCGCCCGCGTTCAAACCAGGCGATCCAAATGCAATAAAAGAAGCACGGAAGAATGGGATATGGGGACCTTGGATGTGAACATTTCACTTTCATCAAAGCAGTTAAGCAAAATGTAACTGAACAACATTTGATGTTCAAGTTAGCTCAAGTTGATATGCATCTTCAACTTGAACCAATTATCGCAAGAAACAATCTCGCAAAGAACTTAATTTGGGTAATTTTAGTGTTGACACGGGCCAATAAAATCCACAACATTTCTCAAAATGAATATATGAACTTGAGATGTAGAATTATCAGTTAGGATTGAAACAATGAAGCTTAAACCTATTTAAGAAATGGAGGTTCTTTGCAGCTGTAAATTATGTCACTAGCGATGAAATAAACAAAACTGCAAATTAATACAAATAACCGTCGATAGGTTGCACCTTCTCATTGTTCGGTGTTTTTTATCTGAGGACACTGTTAGTTACTGTTTTAGCGTCCACGTGTCAAATCATGCACGTGAAGATCTAGCCGTCGACAGATCGTTGCACCTTGTAATCTCCGCCATAATGCAAGCAGACCACTCGGTTGTCAGAAATGGGGTGGGGTCCTATTTGCAATTTTTGTCTGAAATAGGGTCAGAAATTACTTCTGTCGACGGGATTGCACGCTGTAGCAAACATTTGCAAGCAAATCTCCGTGGCAATTTTAGGGAAAAAAAAGAGAGAAACCGTTTGCAGAAATGTATAACGACAAAAATCGGAAATATAATAGAAGGAATAACATTTAGTGAACGGGAGGACATATCAACCCGAAAGAGGATAGAAGACCTCTGATAAAGAAAAAATTTAGTAAAAACCGCAAGTTTACAAAAAACGCAAAGGGAACAAGAATTTTTTTTGCAACGTAAAAGAGATATTTAGCAAATATCACAAAAAATACCGAGCCGAGAATACTAAATTGAGCAAACTAAGGGACTTTTAACACGGCAAAGAAGGCCCTAGGAAGACCGCAGAAAGTAACAAGAATTTTTTTTGCAACTTGAAACCGACATGCTAGCCAATATAGGAAAAATGGCAAAACTAGCAAATTAAGCAAAAGACAAATATTTATGAGGTAAAATGGCAAAGAAGACCCTCGAGGGGGCAAAACTCGCAAAGAAGTAACGTAAAATATTTTGCTATGTTTCATTGTGTGGAATATTCGTTACTGTATGAATCGCAAATATAATATAACGATCGCGAGTATAACAAGTCTAGCCTGTAAACAGACGTTGTTTTATTTTTCTTTTCGTTCTTTTCACTACCCCCTTCGCTGACGGTCAATAAATCCTCTGCGGTTTATCTTTTATTACGCTCGCTCGACGGACTTTGAAGAGAAAATAGAGGGTCTGTGAACAGGCTATAACAAATCTAGCAAAAAAAAAAAAACAATTTTAAAAGGCAAAAGGTGAAAAAGCAAAGACGACCCTCGAGAAGGTCGGAAATTTAGCAAAAATTACAGGGGCCTTCTTGTTTGCTAAATTTATTATTATATTTTTGTTTTTTTGGCGATAATTATCAGCGTGTCTTAGTTTGTCTTTCTTGTTGGGAAGAAAAATTCCTGTTCTATTTCTGCTACTGCTATTTTTTGCGGCTTTCTCTGCGTGGGCCTTCTTTGCCCTTTTAGTTCTTTCTTTTGCTAGATTATTCTTGCGATTTTTGCCAGTCGGTGTCTGGTGGCTATTTCAGCGGTCAGTTTCTTCAATTATGTAAGCAATAGCAGTGCCCTGGGGAATAATGAGCAAGACGTTCGCCATGTCAATGAAAAATACAGTATGCGTGCCTTGTTTACCAATCAATTCCGTGCTGTACAGAACAAAACATGTTTGGCTATTTACAGTATATACAGTGTATGTTCAAATCTGGAGTATTTTTTTTATATAAGAACCTATTTTTGTTTGTCAGGCTGAATAGGTTCTTACATATTTGGGTATTAAAATGCAAAATTTCAGCCTGTGGGTTCTTAAATCACTAGGTTCTTATACGCGGGTTTTTACTGCAACACGCGTACTAAATCAGTTCAGGAACGAGTAAAAAGTATCGACGTCGATAAAGTAGGGAGTAAAAAACCTTTAGCGAGTAAATCATGTTTCGTGTAGAATTAATCGCCTCCTCATTTCTCGATCTCATCTCCAAGCAAGCGAGACTGATTGCGCTGTAAGCGCGTTCTTGTTTATACATAGAAAGCCGCTTGCGAGGGAGAAACGCATACACACTGCCTGAAATAGAGTCCTCGCTAGCAATGGTGCAGAATTAAGGTCAGTGTTACGCGAGCGGGCACTGGGAATAGTGTACAAAGGAACTTAACTAAGGGACTTGTCAGAAATTAGCAGGGGGGAGGGGGAGGGGGGTGGCAATTTTAAATTTGGGTTCGGAAATTAGGTGACCCATTCCTGCAATGGAAGTGAAATTTGCTAACCCTCCCCTTGAGCTTGGCCTAAAATATCATGACCTTCTCCACCTTACAGAATTGAAAGAAAAATGTTTAAGGTGCAGTATTCCAAGCCAATAAGAAAAAAAGGAAAGAAAAACAATAGAAAAGGAAAGCAAAAAAAGCTAGGGCAAAAAGACTGGAAGTTAACTGCCAAAGAGTTATTGAAACCATTGCACCTGTGCAAGAGTGGCATGATGTTACAGAGCCTATTGGTCCATTATCTCTTCATTATGAAGGAACAAGTCGGCTCCTTAAAACACAAAGGCCACATATCCAATATGCCTTTCAGAAGGGATTGTTCACCAATGAATCACAGGACATTATCAAGCAATATCTACGCTTCAACTTAAATGAAAATCATAATGATGATGAAAGTGATTGTATCAATGGTGATGACATAAATGATGATGATCAAGATGTTCACACTAGCATCGATGGTGATGCTGAAGACAGTGATTAAAAGGACAGCCAAAACTCTAATAAGATTAATAACAACATTATTCATAATAAAAATGCAATAAGACTCTATAGCATTGTTATAAATGAAAAGTAGATGTTTGTTAAATTCTTTCAATATAGTACTTCATAGTTTGTATCCATAATGTTCCATTGTTCTTTTTTCTTCTTCTTCTTCTTCTTCTTTTTTTTTTTACCAAATAAAGAACTTCCTTTTTCTTCCGTGGGTGAACCTCTACATGGTCAAGGGCATATATTTGCATGACCCTCCCCCTTTTAACGGCCCATTTTTCATGACCCCTCCCTTTTCTGAGTCTCAAAAAGTTGTGACCCTCCCCCTGTTTCCACCCCCCCTCCACCCTGCTAATTTCTGACAAGTCCCTAAACTGAAGCGGGTTGCAATCAAATGTTTTTGCGCAGATTCTGCACCCAATGCAACCATACTCAACGGTTTTTGCAAAAGACTGAAGCCCTTGCTGCCTTCTGCAGGGAGACAATTTGCGCAGGAGAATATTCACTTGATAGATGATGCAGTAAATCTTAATTATGGACCTGACAAAATAATGCCCAAGATTCTTAAATTATCAGCGCCATGCTTAGCAATTCACCTGACGAAACTACTTTATCTCTGCATAAGTAACTCTACGTGGCCTGCGGAGTGCAAACTTAGCCACGTGACACCCGTATTTAAAAAAGACGCCACATCAGTATCAAACTACAGACCTGCTATACAACAAATACCGTAATACATACAATTTTCTCATCAAACTTGCCAGGAAAAAATTCTTCCATGACAAACTGCTCTCTGTCAGTTCAGATTTAAGAAAGACATGGTCAGTCATAAAACAGATTATCTCCAAAAAGGAACCTGAGCAACGTTTCAATAACATGAAAGATAGTTTATACTCAAATCCTACTAGAATAGCTACAAAATTAATAATTTCTTTGCTAATGCTGGTCCTTCTTTGGCAACTAATATCTCTCCCACTCAAATTACGTATAGAGAGTTTCTGATTGGTCATCACGCAAAGTGTTTCTATCTTAACTTAACTTCTCCCACTGAGGCCGCTAATATAGTCCATTCTCTAAAAAATAGTAAATGTGAGTGTTTTGATGTCCTCTGCATTTCCCCTATAAAAGATACTATTGATTTAATAGCTGCCCCTTTGACCCATATCTGTAATGTCATTTTCTCAAGGTGTTTTTCCAGATAAGCTCAAAACATCTTCAAATGTCCCATCTCCCATCTTCAAATGTGATGACTCTTCCTTGTTTTCTAACTATAGACCTATTTCTATTCTCCCCTGTCTTTCCAAGGTGTTCGAAAAACTCTTTACTTCAGATTGTCTGGATTTCTTGAAAAATTTGACATTCTTAGTCACCATCAATATGGCTTCAGACCACATCATTCTACAACTATGGCTATCCTCGAATTTGTAAACAATATATATGAAAGCTTTGAAAGTAATGAATACACTATTGGAATTTTCTTAGACCTCAAGAAGGCATTTGATACTGTAAATCATCAGATACTAATTGAAAAATCAGACTTTTATAGTATCCGTGGTATTCCTCTAGCTTGGCTCACCAGCTATTTAGACAACCGACAGCAGTATGTTTTGGTCAATGGTCATGTTTCTTCTAATAATACTGTTGTGTGTGGGGTCCCTCAAGGTTCGGTTCTTGGCCCTTTATTATTCCTCTTACACATTAATGATCTTTTTCTTTCTTCAAATTATCTTTCATTTATTCTCTTTGCTGATGACACCAATATTTTTCTTCGTCATAAGGACTTAGCTACTTTAACTAGAATGGTTAATCAAGAGCTTTCTCATGTCTCCTCCTGGTTTAATGCAAACAAGAACGCTCTTAGTAGCGTTGAGTCTCGCTTGCTTGGAGATGACACCGGATGAGTTTTGTTGTCAAAGGCCCCGGTGCTGTTATACTACTTTTTCGTTTGGAATACTTCCCCCGGCAAACGAGTGTTGCATGTCATAACGTATATACTCAAAAAGAAAAATTGCAAGGAGAGACAGGCCGCACATCTTAGCCTCAAACCGGTGTGAAACCTTTGAAAACCTTCTAGATATTGATATTGCTTCATTGAGGAGTACTCTTTCAAGGATTTTACACTCGAAAAATTGAACGATGATTTTATTGGTATCAGGGGCCCATGACTCTGTCAGTATAAATATACATAGCTTCTTTGTACCGGACCAAGATACGGCTCGGGACAGTACATGTTCAGCACAGGAAAAAAAGTGTATGTGTAAGCGTAAGTGTAAGTGTAAGTTTAACAGAACCTTATACAACACACAGTTAATTCAGTTCGCGCGTATTTCTGCTGAATTTGTTGTCCATTTTATAAGATATCAATATCGCGTGAAAGTAATGACATTTTCCATAGCTGCTAAGTATCTACTTTTAATATCTGCGTACAGTCTCAGAGTACAATGTTTAGAG